AACAGCCAATCCCACTATCACCAAATAATCCTCTAGGAAATAAATGCAGTAAAAAAGTCACACTTGTCTTAGTAGATGTTGATATAATTTTAATTTCATGGGTTAGAGCATTTAAAAAACTTTTCTGGAACTATTCAGAGCACATGCCTGTAATGGGGTAAACGGGAGGAATATGATTTAGCTTTAAAAAATCAGACTTAGTAACAGTACATATCTCTAAAAAATATATTCCATTTTATGACCAGCTGGTTGAATGTCTTGCTGTGATACAGCAGCATCATGGTACTGTATATTTTGAAGGCAATGCTAAATTCAGACCCTGGCTCCAGCTGAAAGACTCAGATGTCCTGACTTGCTGTTTGGGGCGCTTGCTGTAGAGGAAAATAAAATTCAGGGCCGGATCCAGATCCAGAGTTCCCATTCTCCTGCTGCTGGGAGCACCAGTTTTGCCCTACTTGTTTGACTAGGAGTGAATGGGACTGGTTTGGTTTTCTTCCAGACCGGTTATACCTCGCCTCGTTATAAACTTCACCGTGTACTGTCCTTTCCCCTGTCTTATCTCCCCAGTCTCCTTCAAGGGCAATGGTGGAATGCAAGAGGGGTGCTTTTGCTGGGGGCTGTTCTGAGCTGAGAGGAGAGGCAAAAATGACCTTTTATCCTGCTCGGTGTTTCAAACAGCTTCCGCCTGCGGGGAGGGGATGTGTTGAGAACGTGTGAGAGAAAACACTGAAAAGGGGAAAAAGGCTCAAAAAGGGAGGGGAAAAAAGTACAGCAAGGAAGCTAGAGACAAACTTCAAGTTGTGGATTATTTCTCACCCAGGCTCTAATTAGGAAGCCTCTTATGGGACTGTGAAGCTGTCAGGCTGCCAAATGTCAGCGTGTTTATCGGAGATCAGGCGAGTCTCCTGTCTGCAGCAGCTACAGTTTGGTGCCATGAGCCTCCTGGGTCCTTCCAGCGTGAGTGACTCACACTCAGCAGTAGCACCTCCGGGGGCTTCGAGGCGCAGTGGAGGGCTCTTTCTTCTCCCTTAAAAATCCAAAAATAAGCCCTTTCCTGAGATTTGGCCTCTTCGTTCTGGCTCTGCACGGGGAGGGTTAACCACAGGGTGCAGAGCAGCTTCAGCAGATGTGACTCAGATTCCCAGGGAAATCCCCACCTTATCTGATGGAGCCTGTTAGTCTGCTAATTGAATAAGCTCCTATTAAAAGTGCAATGTTTTTTAATGACTGCTAACAACGGGCCAGATTCTGATCTGATCTTTTCTCTTGGGATCATTTTTGCTGCTGGTGCGGCCCAGCCCTGATTGCAGCCGGGCAGCCTCCCCCAGCCCCACCGGCTGCGGCGGAGCCCGGCCGGGAGCTGACCCCAACACACCAGCTCCAGGGCTTCCAGGGTGCTGGGGAGCTACAGACCGGGCGTCAAAACTTCAGTTTTAATGAGCCGGGACTTCATGAAGCGTAACAGGCAGGAAGCTTTTAATGGGAATCTTTAGGAAGAGGCAGAAGGCTGCAGTGCAGCCAGCAGAGGAAAGAGTTTGTTGGGAGACTACCAAGGGCTCCATGTAACGTAATTGCTGCAAATATCTACTGCGTGATTCGAGCAGTGCTCTGAGTAATTAACTTTGCCAGTGTTGAAATCAGGTTGATTTGTTGATTCTGCATATATGACGTTGTCTATGTCTGCCTAGGAAAAATGTTGTGTGTGCCTCTGCATAAGCACATTCAAACCCTAATTTTAATTAAAATTGTGTGTATTACATCTGTATCTTCTTTTTCTCTATGGGAATTGACTTCGAGAAGGTATTTGCCTAACAGGAAAATAAAAAAACGTGGTTAGCATTTAAAGTTAACTTAGTAGGGTTCCGGGGTACTTCCGAAGGAGAGTTTAACAGCTCTGATTTCAGCCAGGCCCTGGCTGTCCCAGGGTGGGGCTGAGCTCTCTTGCACGACCCTGTGACCACATTTGCCTTCCTTTTCTCACCTGAAACTCCCAGTGGGTTACCCAAGCCTATGTGACATCAGAACCATACAAAGTTTTCTGATAAGAAGACTGTTTTTTGTTTCTTTTTGCAAGCCAGGAATGAGATCTGGCCACCTTCACCCCCACGCATCTCCACACCTACTCAGTTCCTTTGTGTGTCCCTTTTGCTTTTCTCCAAGGAAAGTTTCTTTTAAAATGCAGGAGCTTCTTTTAGCAGGTCCCATACATCCACACTGACACTGAGCTGCTGCTTTAAAAGTTTCATAAGCAACCAGTAAGTGGTGGTTTTTTTCCACACAATACCAATAACGAAGTGTCAAAAATCTCAAGCTCCTGTTATCAGAGGCAGAGTCTAACCCCCGTTTCTCAGGCTGTTTTCTATTCCCCACTCCTGAGTTGTCAGATGCTGTGACATGGCTCCATCACACCACGACTAGCAGTCCCAACAAACAGAAAATGATTTCCAACTGGCAAACATGCTGTTTACTTTCCAGAAAAATTGCACTTTCCCATCTGACAGCTGATCAAGGGATCTCCTGCTGCTGTCAGCATGAAGAAGTGTTTAAACACAGGGATGGAAGTTTAAACATTTTCTCATTATCACAGAATAAAAAAAATTAAAAAATAATAAAAAAATAAAGGCATTGAGTCTCTCCGACCACCTGCTGTGCCAGTAATGAAGCGGTGTCACATGACCAGCCGGCGAGGACTTTTATCTCTGCCCCAATATCATTACTGAAGTGACACCTGTCACATGACCCGCATCAGAGCTTTCATCTGGGCTCCCCAAATGCAGTTCTGGCTTGTGAGGGGGATTTTCCTGGCATTTCCCTCCCCCCCACACACTTTAAAGAGCATTGCCCACTTGCGCCATTACAGACAGAGGTTTGCAAGTTTCAAAGCCCTTGGATCTGTCCTTGGGCACATGTAATTCGGCCAACAAACTTGCTCCAGGCTGAAGGAAAACAGAATCCTGGCCTGGGAAAGAAGTTATTTCATTTACTTCAACATGTTTTTAAAGCAAATATTTAAGTCTGCTGTTAAACTCTCTTTAGAAGAGGATGTTAAAGGATTTCTCAAAAATCTCCAATTTGTTTTTAATTTTTTATTAGATGGTGAGAAGAAACAGTTTGGTGACCCTTGAGCAAAATGATCTCCATTTACGTGCACTTTATAAACTCTCACCTGCTTTATTAACGCATCCTACCCCTGCCAAGAGAAAGCATTTTCTGGGGAAAAAAAGGAAAGATCATTCCTGCACCTCTCTGCAAACGTCTGGGATTTTTTGTGAGGTGTTCAACAGCAAAAACCTAGATTTGAGATGGGCCCACATAAATGGTAGCAGTTCTGAGCACTTACTCACCATAACCCACTCAGTTATTATCTCAAAACAAAACAACATCAAACATTCAGATGTGACAGGGGATGATCATCCTGCAGGAACTAGATGTGAGCACACTGGAGATAAGAGAATATGAACTTTATGGCTTTTTCTGGCTCCTCCTTTCCCACCCCGCACTCATCCCTGAATGAAGTCTAGTACTTCTCTCCCTTCATAATCTAATTCAGCTCACTAAAACAATGAAAAACTAACTCAGCAAAAGAGCTCATAATTTCCCACCTGTTTAGTGAACTAAATCAGTTCTTCAAGGTCTTAGAAAAGTGCCAGAGAGCAAAAAAGAGAAAGACCGTGAAGCTTGAAGCAGGGAGGGAAATGGTGGAGGCAGAACCACCTTTTTGGGTGGCACTAACTTGGTACATGAATTCAGATGTGCTTCTTGTTACCTACTGTTTCTGACTCGTTATAGCATTACAGCCATTTTCCCTGAAAGCTGCTGCCCCTGAAACTGTGCAGGGCAGGGGATGGAAAATCTACTGAGATCAGTACTTCTAGTGTAAATAGTACTCCCTTTAGTTTGGGACAGGAGTTGTTCTGAGGCAATTTCTCTCTCTGATCTGGCATGTTTAAGGCCTCCAATATTGGCTTAATGAACAGAAGACTGCTGGGTTGCAGCACATCCTTTGGACAGGGTCTTCCTGGCTTTCTATCCATCTAGATACAGAATTAGAAGGTATCATTTGACCCTTTGGCAATTTAGCATATAGATAAATGTAGCAATGTCAAGGCCATTATGGGGTAGCAGCTATGTAAAGCAGCAAAGCCATTCTGTCTGCTGCTCCAGGGCAGAAGAAACTTACAGCTGATGCTCTGGATAGAGCATGAGGAAAAGTGACTCAGTTCTCATCATTAGATCCCTCACTGCCCATGCATAACAAATCCTTTCATTTAACATATCTTGAGCATTTAGTGGCTTCCAATTAGGAGCAGAATATGACCAACCCATTACAGGCATTAGAGATCCTACTTCTTCACTGCTCTTAGTTCAGACATCTCCAAGAATGCAAAAGGAATGCAGAACACCCATATCCCAACTTGGGCATCATTTATAGCTGCTCTGCTCAGTATTGCAATGGGAGGTCAAATCTTAATCACCCTAAGAGTAGCTGATTGGAAGATCTGGGTCCATGCAATCTAGAGGTAGAAAGACTTTTGGGACATAATTTGCCTTTTCATCGAGACAGAGAACTTTAAGGAATGTAACATAAGGAATATCTTGTCCTCTTAACTGAGCAGTGCCTGCAGATAGTCTGTGTACCCTTTTATATAGTTAATCTATACATTCCTGCAATTATGTCTATAGCAAGGGCAAAGGGGAACATAAACACTTGTGCTGCTTCCTGCCCAGATCTGCAGTGTGTGGTTGGTAAATGATGGACTGGGGTGGGGCCGGACCTGCAGCTCCCTTACACTAAATGCTCACCTTTCAGCTCTTTCTGTGGCTGCCACCCATAACTCCTTGACTGGTTTTGTTCCAGTGTCTCAATGTTCTGCATAATTCTTGCTCAGAGAAGTTCTCCCAGTCATGCCAGTGACACTACTTAGATGAATAAGAAGTATTCAAGAAAGTTTGCATGCCTGCACCTTAATGATTTATCTCTCTCTTCCTTTTCTTCCCAGATCTGCTGTGGGCTTATATCGTGGCTACTGGTTTATGATGTCCCAGAGCTAAGAAAAGGATAGCTGAAACTAAGCAGACTAGTACTTGAACACAGTAAGTTACTTGCTTTCCCAATTCTCCCAGGAAGAATACTATGAGAAATTTCACAGTAACTGTAGTTGGGAAAGAGCTCTCTGATTTCCCTATGTGTCCTGATCAGCACTTACCTCAGATTAGCTTTCCTTCTCATAGTCTGTCAGCAGCCCTGAGCTCAAGGAGATTAAAACACTCTGGTAACTCATTAATGAGCCAAGACTCTCAGCAACAGCTGGGGCAAGAATAGACATCTTAATTCTCTGCCATCTCCCCTCTGCTCATCAACACCTGCACACATTTGGGATCCTGTATAAGAAGACCCCTGAATTCAGCTCTAAGCAACCAGTCTGCAATGCACATGTCTAATGCTCTGCTGGTGTGGAACCAGTACGCTGGTAATCCTGTTAGTAATGGCAGAAGCTCCCTCTAGGAAATTATAACAAATAGTCTTAAACAATTCCTTTTGTTGACAACTTTATCCAAGAAACCATCTTCCCTGGAGACTTCACTCAACTTTCGACTAATCCCCTCCTTCCCTCAGGAGCTCTTTTGTTGAAGGAGATTGTAGGCAAACCCAGGAATGACAGGTCTCGATAAGCCTTGGATCAGCCTCTACATTCTTTCAATTGTCAGTCCCCATCTGTCCTGTTTGTACATCGATCTTCTGGTCCAGGGATCTCTCTATTAAGTGACACATGGCTGAGTATATTCTGCAAGTCCAGTGTCCAGACTGTGCTGTTACATCTTCGTTGCCAAGTCAATCTTTCTGACATTGGTTTCTGAAAAACAAAAGGCAGGACATCTGTGCAATTTCATTCTCTTCTAATGAAAGGTGATTTTTAAAAATACACACCCCGCCCCTCAAACTCTGTCCTTGTTTTATAATCTCAAAAATTTTGCTTCATTTTGTCAATATCAAGAGTTGCTTCAAAGGTCTTTGGCGTAATAGAGGCTACAATCTGCCTCTGTTGCAAAGGAATTCTGTTAGGATAAAAATGAATGGCTTAAGTCCTGAATAACAAAAAAAAATAGATCCTAATTACAAAAATTCTGCAGAGATATTGCCTTCAGTCATGTCTTCTTGATAACAGCTGGTTTAAAACAAGCTCTAATCTTCCTGTAGATTCAACTACACTTAGCTGGTACAGTAGCACACACATGTAAGAGGCACAGCATTATTTATCTGAATTTTGAGAGGCAGAATGAGAACAGTAGCAGATTCCAGTGATCCATCTGTTCCTCCTCAGCAGGTAGAGGGAAAGAGGTGGGTGGTATAGGGTAGAAAATTAATGGAGTGTTGGCATGGAGTATATGTCACCCTGGGATATCAGGGATACTGTCAGTACCTCTTCCTCTCTTGAAACCAGAAGGAGAACAAGGAGGAGTCTGTGATGATGTTTTGTCCCTTGCTCTGTTGCTTGGGGCCCATGGATTCAAGATGAAGACTGGTATGTTTAGGGTTTTTTTGTTTTGTCTACTTTTATAACTTAACTCAGGTTGGCAAGTGAAGGAAGGCTGACCAGTTTCATTATGTTCCCAGGAAATTCTATTCTCTCATGTGCCAATGTGAGGCTGTTGTGCTTTAGATGCCTATCTACCTCTCATTAGATTTGAAAAAGCATACAGAACCCCCTGCTTTCCATCAGTAGCCTATTAAAATGACAAAAAAATTACTCTTTCATTTTTAACCTTGCTTGCATGTCTGAATCCAGATGCTTTTTTTAAAAAGATAATTAATAATATGAACATCATCACTTACAGAATGTTTTCCTGTAATGAATTGGAGAAGAAAACTTGAGCTGACATTTAAGCTTGCTTAGTGTACTTTGTAAGTAGCTTTAAAAAAGTGACACAAACACTTTGAGGCCAGGTTAATATAAAAAAAATGTTTAAGACTATCTCCTACTATTTTCAAGTTTTCACCATCTGATACGATGTGTTTGAGAACTGCTAGGTCAGTTAAAATGGGCCAAATACAAGTTCATTGAACACTGAAGCATGAGTGCCGTCCTCAAGGGAGTAGTCCCAGAGCCTTAGTGGAACTGGCAGCCAGCTTTTTTGGCAGGATTAGGGAACAGTCATCCTGTCTGCACTCAGCTGAGCAGGTGAGCAGGGAATGCATTCAGGCTGCTTCCAAAACCCAATCTGGTCACAGGGCTGGCATTGTCAGGTCCTTCTTGAAAGGACTCGAGGCTTCCTGTCTGCCTGCTGTTGTCCACAGGATGAGGGCAGGAGGGGTACAGAGAGGCTGTGAGACCAGGCACTGAGTGCTGGGACCTGATCCTATAGCAGGTACCTGCCATCTCCATGCATTTGGGAGCACAGATGGCTAGCTGAGGTGTACTTTGCTATCACAGCTAGGTTGCCTCTTAGCTTGGCAGACAGTAAGACAGTCAAACTAATTTGGCCTCAAGATCAGTTTCCAGGTCTGCCCTTCAAGCACAGACCCAGCACTGACACTGACAGGGCACATGGTGATAACAAATGCACAAAGTAAACAAAGAGACGGGATATAATAAAAGGGTGTTTTCTGGTAACTTCTTCCAGTAACAGTGATTTTTGGTCTTCTGTTACAAAAAGGAGATGAAAAATATTGATGCTGAAGCATCGTTCTGAGGTGCGTCATATTAAAATAGGGATTAATTAAAACCAAGGATGTTACAAGCTAAGGAGATTTTGCCTAGCTCTGCTCAGGTTCCAGTTGTGTGAAATCAAAACAAATAAGCTATAAAATGTGAACTCAATAGGCAAGGACAAAAGAGAACAAAACAATTTGGTCAGTTTAAGCAGTGGGGAGATGAAGCAATATTTTGACTGCGGAGGCATCAGAGGAAAGGGCACTGGTCTGAGGCTTGGGAATATGACAAAACAAATCCAAACTTCCCATAATACTACTGTGTGTTGTTCATTCAGGGCCATTGGCTTGCTGATCTCTTCTCTCTGAATGTGAGGTTTCCCACTTTGTCCTCATGCTGGGATGTGATCATCCAGCCCCGGGTATCAGTTCTGTTTTCCCATCTTAAATACACAAAGGAATTCATGTGCTAAAGATGATGGCAGCAGCTTTGACAGTGGCAACTATGTGCTTACCCAAGAATCAGTTAGTCATCCCTACTTTCTACCAGAACTTGCTCGAACCTCCTGAGAGCTGGCCTTTTCGGTAAGAAGCAAACAGGTCACAGATTTCAGGTTGCAGTCTCACTCCTGGAACTGTGAGCACTGATTGTCCTGTGGAAAAATCAGGTTAAAGAGAAAGCTGCAAAATAGTCCTTTTCCTTCATTGTGCTACTTTCCTAATGCTCTCTTGTGACATTAGCCACAATATAAAATAATTCAGGTTCCTATTTCACACAGCTGCATTCCTTCTGATTTTTTTTGGAAAATTATTTCTTTAATCTAGACACCCTTTTCTAGAAATCTCATCTGCAGTTTTTTTCTTTTTTCTTTTTCTTTTTCTTGGAGCAACCAGCAAAATACTATTTGGTAGAACAGCGATAGGAATGCAACCCACTAATCAAAAGGATTCAAATGGATCTGCACACTGCCAAGCTCTCTCCTTCCCACCCAGCAGAGGGGGAAAAAAAAGAAAAAGAAAAAAGAGATAGAGCGAAGGCACAGGGCTTCTCTCCTTCAGCAATCTCACAAATGCAAAACCTTCCACTCCAGTGACTCCTCATTAACTTACCAAATCTGACAGTCTAATTATCGTAGCTGCTTCACGCTTAGAATAAATAAATACTAAAGTGGGTGTTTAAAGAAATTGAGCAGTGAAATCCAGTCATCTAGACAGTCAATAGAGAGTTTATTTTAAATTTTTATATTCTTATGTATTTATATCATTTTAGGAAAGATAATGAGATAGTTGTCTTTCAGGCTAATTGAGTTCCTGTGCTCATGGTTGCTTGCTGTCACAATCTCAAACTTAGCTTTAACTTTTGTGCCTTAGAAACCTGATCACTACATCCCCGTTTACTCTTTTCTGATAATAACTGGGTGAAGTCAGAAGTGCACCTGAGGATGGGAAACGACTACACCAGACTACCAGTCTGGATGTCTTTCACAGCAAACAAGCCAACTAAATCTTTTCAGATTTGCATTTAAGAGTGCTAAAGGGGAAATGGAAGTTAAAGAAACATCAGATATAACTTGCAATTAGACAAAATGCAGAAAAACATCTGCTAACCTCTGATGCAATAGTGTCTGCCTCCATGAACAGCATTAACAGTGCTCTCCCCCAAGAGCAGTTCATCTCTCTGAACAATAAGACCTTTATAGAGATTCTCTGGCCTGAGATCAATGGGAGTCAGGGCATTTGATCCATGTCTGTAGGACTTTGTTTCCACAAGTCATGTGGGCCAAACTTTGCACCAGTTGTGCTTTTGCAAGAGCGGGAGCTGGGGAGTGAGCAAAGGAAACTTTCCTTTTTTTCCCATCTTCCCCTTCACCCTGTGCTCCTGAACAGTGCCCAGCACTTGCCAGCACAGTATCTGCTCCAGGACAGCACGCGGGGAAGAGTTGAAACAGGGCAACATGTCCAGAGTCCTGTGCCCTTGGCAAACATCTGCTGTGATGTTGCAATAGCTCTTTCCTAGGGTGATGGCTTAATGACAGAATACAAAACCTTAACGTCCTGTCAGTATGTAAGCAAGGAGACCTTCCACCACTGTGGAGATCAGAGCGGGTGAAGTGAGAGGTGGCTTTCCTGAGTTAAGTGAAGATTTGCTTTATCATCTCACATATAAGAATGCTTCTGGCTTAGGAAGCTGATTTCCTGCTCAACACCAGCTTTGGTTTATACCTGTACTAAGACACATTATAAACCAGATGCATACACCTGATAGGAACTTCACTTTCTAGGTGTCTGTATCTGATTTGCAGTGACAGATATCTATTTGCTGTATACAGAGGTGGCACAGCACAGTGGTAAAATAATATTAGGTGACTATATAAACCTTTTAGCTATGTAGGAGAATCTAGGGTAACCAGTCAACCCGAACAAGGTGTCCTGAAAGCCAGCTCTTCTTTATATGTCCCCTGTGATAACATCTACCAGCACTGGCTAATCCCAACAGTAATGGGATTTTTGCTAGGCAATGGCTTGCAGCCTTAACCTCCTCACTGCCCACACTGCCTTAGCTTCGATGCAACAGGCATTAAAATGACAGTGGTCTGTCAACATCAAGCCTCCCCTCTGTTCCTTGTCAGCAGGCTGTTTTGGACAAACAGTACAGTGTCATCACCACCTGGCACCCTGGTTTTGAGCGGTTGGGAGAGGTAACAATGAGAGACCAACCGTACCCAAAAAGAGCAAGTACCTCCTAGTCAGAGCCAGGATCATATCCATGCAACACACAGAGCACAAATTGGACTTGACTAACTGCAGCACCTGCACTGTGAGAAAGGTCTCTGCTTGGTCCAGTGGGGATAGGATCTGAGCTGCCAGCTCAGGCCTCCCTGGCCCGCGTGCCTGGGTTGTTCAGCCAGAGCTCTTCTTGCAGTATGTTTTCTTGGGAGCATATTGTTGATGACCCCAAATCCCACTGCTCACCCTCCCTGCTTGCAAGCCTGCTCTAAAGCATTGGAGGGCAAAAGAGAGGGACAATAAACCAAATCTATAGCTAAGAATAATAAGCTGCAATTGTTACCGTGTCTGACCTGTCTGACAACAGAGTGAGATACCTTCCCAGAAGACCCTTTGCACTTCAGGACTGACACTGAGTTGAGAGCACAACTCATGCTTTCTTGATTCAAGGATCTCGTCTTTCTTCCAGGAGGGATTAATTGGACAGAAAAAAGTCTGCTTGAGCAGATGGCAAAGGGTTAGACTGAAGTTTTATCAGAGCTGCTGCAGTGCAGGGCTGCACTGCACAAAGATAATTATCTCAGAATTGGCTTAAGCCAAAAAAAGGACAGCAAATGCTCCAGTTTTACAAAAGGTCATCACTGCCACCCCTTAGGCTACCAGCCACACCGAAAGGAAGCTAGAGAATCCCCTGCACCTCTCTTCTCTTGCTATATTCAGTGGTGCTGTTGGCACATGTAGAATTAAGGCCAACAAGAGGATGAGTGGGGTTTGAACCTGGGCCTTTGCATTCCCTTCTAGCCCTAGAGGCACAGGAGTGAGCAGCCTAGAAGCCCATCTGTGGGCCAGTCCCACTCAGAGGACAGAGTCTTCTTCCTCCTTAGAACGTGGGTTACTCTTTTTTTCTAGCACTTTGCATTCAGATGAGCATAGCAACAGTAACCTGTTCCCCTCTGTAGGAGCTGACCACCAGGAAGCAAAGAGCCCTGTGCCCCCTCTCCCCCTTCCCAGGGGCAGCAGCCAGCCTCTAGCCATTACCATTCCCCTCAGTAATCAGAAACTTGCTATTTGGAGGGGTACTTATTTGTGAAATACTGATTTCTCCAATTATTTTTTTCCCATTAACTGACCTTTGAAAAACATCCTCTAGCTTCCAGCTTATCATAACGACTTATAGAAAGGACAGTTATGGATACAATTATTTCATTAAAATAGAGAATAATTTCTTACGGGAAGCTTTAATTTTTTCAAATGTTGTTTCCCTCTTACTCTCACACACCTTGGGATCAACCACCTCTTCCTTTCACCTTTCATCTCCAGCTCATTCTTTACTTTTCTGCATTAACTTTCCCCTTCAGAGGATGGCAATTGATAGCCAAATCCTCCAGAACAAAGTGGGAACAGAAGATATTTAAAATCTGTACTGTTAACATAGCAACAAGAATTTGAAAATGATACAGTTAAATTCTAAAATAGTGTTATGCCAACGTGACACAAGAGAACAAACGTCTTACACAATTGTGGCAATAGGAATGGCTACATGGGGAATTATTGAAAATTGCCTAATTTTTACAGGCTTAATGAGTCACTCCTGAATATGGTCTTGCGTGATCATACTGCACTTGTTTCAGCCCTGTGCACTTTGATTCTGCTCCCAACACATTGGTTGCTATGATAACGCCATGTAGTTTCCTGTCCACAAGGTACTTCTTGCTGCAATATGGGGGATAATAAATATGGGATGGTGCTTAAACCGAGGTGAAATGACTCTGTCCCCTCGCTGGCAGCACATCCGAGAGATTGATACATTATGCCAATCTGTTTTCTCATTCCTTCTATTTCTCCTCACTCTCTCCCTTTCTCTCACACTGTCTGTCTCTGTACCTGTTTTTTTCCACACACTCTCTCTCTCTTGGCACTGACACTTTCATCTTCTCCCTTGGGGATTGGAGATGTCACTGCGGGAAGTGCTTGTCCGCCTCTCTGGCAGCAGCAGAGCCCTGTGGCTTTGACAAACCTCATTTAATTGGGAGGAAGCCAGGAGGGTTTGAAAGAACTGAAACATCCACGAAACTCCTTTTATCAGGCATAATTTAAACTCTGCATGGAAAAAACCCTATATGTATAAAGAAAAGTCAACTTCCCTCCTGCTGTGCGTGCTCCCCTCCTCCCCCCCCCAGCACAGGCAGGCTCCTGCGAGATTCCATCTTTTCATTTTTCTAAAAGTGTCAAAGTAGATTTGTGCTCTGTGGCTGGGTGAACAGAAAAGGAATGCAGATGTCTCTCACTCATGCACATACACACACAGAGCACCTTCTGAAGGGCAGCAGTTTGGGGATTTGGGAGAAATGCTGGCTGGCTGCTCCTTCACTTGGGATGTGTCGCAGGAGCCAGAAATTTGGTTTTCCAATAGCTTGACAACACAGTCCATGAAGGCTTTTTCTTAATTGCTCCTGTCTTAAAAAACACCACCAAACTAACTAGTGTAGAGAGGTTGCCCAGGAGGCAACAGGGAATGCAAGGTTCCTTTGGCTTGTTGCCCAACAGGAGGGAGCTCTGCCTAGTGAGGAACAGAATCTGTAGCTTGAGAGACCCTGTATTTATTGTCAGCTCAGGGCAGGAGGGGCAGAGCTGTGTGTGCAGCTGTGTGCTCGAAAGAAGGGAGCAAGGGAAGAAGAAAATAAAGCAGGTAAAACTGAGGGAGAAGTGGTGTGACAGGGTACGAGGAACAGCTGTCTCAACATCAAAAGGGAGCAGGAGGAGTGGTCCAAGGGAATTGGGGCTAGCACATCATGCTGAGCAGCTGGGAATTCAGGACATCAGGATGGATCAGCATGTGAGTTACACTGAATACACAGTGTGAGCCAGCCCGAGGGAAAGCTCCAGGCCCCTGGGGTTACAGAATGGGGGAGAAAGGACCTGTGGAAGCATATGCACCTCTGCTTTGCAAATGGACCGTGGTAGCAGCCCATCAAGGTCCCCTTCTAGTATTAACACCGAGGTCAAGTGGAAGAAAATAGAAAAGCAAGCTGTTAAATTTGCAATGGGGTGTAAACTTTGCAGCATGCGGAAGTGGGGGGGGGGGTGCAGACAGAAAAGAGGGACATCCAGGTGAATGGCAGAGACTATCAAAGTAGAGAAGAAACTCAAATAGCATGTGCAGTAGCTCTTTCTTGGTGAGATGAAATCGAGACTTAACTTACCAGCAGGAATCTCACAGAGTTGAGGAGGCAGAGGGCTGAAGAAGCCATGTAGAAGCGCGTCTTGTGCAGAGATTCGGCCCCGAGGGAAGGCTGTAAGCATCCTGGAGGCCAAATTCTCTGCTGCTGGCACCCTGCTCAGCCTAGGAAAACAGAAATATAAATAGCATAGGAGATGAGGACAAGCCAGAAAGCTGGAACCAGAACATGACCCAGCCCATCCCAGAGCTTGGGGCAGAGATAGGGGAGGGACACAGGGGAGCTGGACAAACCCACTCCAGATATATAGCTTTTTAAGGACATTCACTTTTCCATCTGAGTTTGATTATGTTGGAGTATATATATATATATACACAGAATTTCAGCTCAAACTCATGTTTACAGAGGAATTCGAAAATAAATTTCTATTTTGTAAAAAGAAGGCTGTAAGTGAAAGGGGAAATGATGTTGGAGAGACTGTATTTTGCATGTTGTAACTGGCATATCAGAGGTTGGTGTTACCAGTTTACAGTGACAATGCAAGTGCAGAAAATAATCTGACTGGCCCACTGAGAAGACCAGAGGTCAAACTTAAAAAAACTAAACAAAATACCATTTCCTCTTTTCCTACCCTAGTACCAGTACAGCAGCTGGTTGTAAAATGTGTTGGGGATTCACAGAGAAGTATCTGTTTCTCAGGATGAGTGCTTAAAATAGATGTAATACACATATGCTCCATGTTCAGCAAATACCAATGCCAAGTGGCTGCTCTCTAGAGGAGCACACAGCTGGGGGGACGAGGAAGTAGAGGAGAGAAAACAAACCGACAAGGAAACAAATAAAAATAGTAATTTAGTTTTACAGCTTTTACTTTGTTTGTTTGTTCTGATCACGTTTCAGCTTCAGGAGGCCCATCAGAGCATGGCCTGTTGTGCTTCCTCCCTTGGCCCCCCTGTCGGTGCTTCCCCTCCAAGTGACATCAGGGGCCGGGATCCCCCTGCCCCTGCACTCCCCCTCCCTATATGGGACATCTGACATGCTTACATTTTTGTAAAATAAAAAAGAAAAAGAAAAAACACAAAGAGAGAAGTAGAGAGAGACACCCTGAGAAACAAATTTATAAAAGGTATCTGGCCTCACTGTGGTAAATAACTTCTGAATTTTCACCTCCAGCAAAACGATTCAAGCCTCTGCTTCCCTGGGGAGCAGGGACGGGACAGGGAGACACAGCATCCAGTCTGAGCCTGCTTGCTAGACTGCACACCAGGCTGCCCCTGCCATGGCAGGGTCTTACTGGAGACCTTCTGCCCCCTCAGTCCCCATTTCTGCAGGCTCCCACACTGGGCAGCAACACAGTTCAGTGCTTCCCACCACGGCTCAGGCTTCCCGGTGTTGGCCGAGCTCTGCAGAGCTCCCCTCTGATTTCTTAATTGGCCATGGAGAGTCATGGCTGAGCAGTCTGTATGAAGCAGCTCTTTCCTTCTCCGGAGCTGAGCACGCCAAGGCAGTTTTTTGGCCCTACCAGCACAAGGACTCTGTAACACAGAGCTGGAGCTGGCCCATGAGCAGCCCAGAGCCCTGCCACAGAGGCGCTGGGTCAGCCCGCTGGTACGGAGCTGTAATGGGGCCTGTCAAGGGATTATGGCCATAAAGCAGAAGTACAATACAGCAGAGTTGCAAGTATACTTAATTCTTTGTTCAGGTTGAGAGAGGATTTGTTCTGTTCCAGGACCTGCGTTATCAGGGTTTGGGACATGTTGAGCTTTGTGTGTTTCTGAAGTTGTGTGTGAGAATGGCTGACATTTCAGCAACCTGTGCTTTGCGGAAAACTTCAGCATGTTTGTTCAGAACAGCATATGGAAAACCCCTCTGAGCAGGGTTGTTCAGCAGTCAGCTGAATAGATAATAAACAGCAGCGATGAAAAATGTGGTTATGTCCTCAAAGGATATTTCATTCTTGACCTCTGCCTGAACACAATCCTGAGGACAAATCCTGCCCCGTCTTTTCCTACCTATGTATAAAACCTGTTGTGTGCCTCAAAATCAGTATTGTGGGGATTTGATGTTAATGACTCTCTGAGCTTGGTTACAGCACTTTGCCTAGTTATAAATTTCTTTCACTGATACATACATGCTTTTTGTATATGTGTGTGTGTGTACATATGTGCGCTTGAAAAAATACTCCCTTCTCTCAGCACACTAGGGGGTGATTCAGCGGTGCTGGTGTGTCTGGTCAAGCTGAGTATGGCCTTAGTCTCATAGCTTTTGGCCACTAAGAATGTGATTTTCCCTCTCCTAACTAATCACAAGATTATTTCATTGTCTTATGAAAACGCTGTCCTAGCATGTCTTCCTTACTGCTGTTGAGCAACATTCCTACAGTTTGTTTTCAGAAATGAAAACTGGGACAGTGCAAAGTCTGTCTTCAGTCTGGGCAAGAGGGCCTGGGAAAGTCTGACCTTCTGAATCGAACTGTGCCCCACAAAAAGCTGCACATAATGTCATTGAATCACTGCTTATCTCAGAATAATCACTACTCCTCTGAGAATAATAAACCCACTATGTGCCTACCTTTACTGCGATCTCTGAAAATCAGTTGCTTAACTGACGTTAGATCTGCTTGTTACTGCAGAGCCACCCTGCACTTCCTGGGCTTGCCAAAGGAGCTCATTTCAAGCTAAATGATTGCATGAAGAAACAAATAAACCCAGAGGCGATTTTGACATTGCCATGATTGGTAGCTTACCTGTTACAGATGACTCGGAGTCTCTGAGGTCTCCTGGAAGCAACCAGTTCTAGAAAGTGTAATATGCAATCATGAGATTAAATGAAAATCAAGCCAAATACAATTCTTTGAGCCCTTACAAAAAATATGTGCTCAGAATTTCAAACAGCCCTATAGAATCTGTCATCTTAGTATGTATAAATATACATTATTCCTATAGGACTTGAGCACCAGCCTTGATTTTAATAAGGCTGTTCCAGTTCTGTAACCCTTTCCTTTCATATATCTGTGAGTATAGGCTTTGGGCCTCCTTCTGTTACAGTGCAAGTCTTAGCTTTGACTTCAGTTAAAGCAGTACTAGTCCCTAAAGCCTTTGCACAAAGGAAGCAGACGGAGGTTTGCAGATCTGAATCCCCAGCAATTGTCTTGGCTTTCCAAGGGGCTGCTGAGCTTCACATATTGCCCTGTGGGTACATGGGGCTTTTCTGCACCGATGTGGCAGAAAGATGGGACCAGAGAAAAGGTGCTGGGGTCCCACTCTTCTTGCCCAGTGCTCTCACTGCCAGTCCCTCACTAAGTTTGTTCTTTATCCAGTTAACCATTCTCATGCAGGCTTAGTACTTAATGATTACGTGATCTCTACCGGACTGGAACTTAACAGAGTTCACAGTTTTGTGAAGGCTGCGTTCTTGTTGATGTTTTTCAAGGACATATTTCTAAACATTGTGGAAAATGTAGAGCAATACATTCCTCAAATGTTTTATTATAAAGCATGAATTTTCTCAGGCTTAGATATGAATGAATGGCTTAAGCCTGGAAAATTTTCCCTTAGAGCTGATCAACAGAGACGTTTTCTTGCATCAGAGAGGCTGTAATTTCTACCCACTTACATTTTCCTGAGCACCGTTGCTGGCAGCAGGGAATGAACGGTGGTACTCTAGTCATGGACAGGAGAGCAGGAAGGGTGGTGTTGACCTCTCTCACAGCCCAGCCTGGACAAGAATTCCCTACAGCAGTGAGACCACCGGGAGGCAAGTGTCAGTGGTTTGTTGCCAGTAGACTCTGAGCTCGGTTGGGGTTTGTGCTGCACCTTCCAAGAGCATCTTCCCTCACTTCCCACCTGGAAGCACCAGGCACATCATTCAGGGCCAGGAGCTGCCTGCTGCAGGCAAAGTGGGAGTCCCCTCTGCCTGCATAAGGCCATTTCCAGAGTGCCAGGCCCGCAGACTCAGTCACTCAGTGTCTGACCCCATGCACAGACAATTTGACAAAGTGTAAATTACTGAACTTCCCGCCCTTGACCTTTCCAGCAGCAATCTTTCACCATTAAACCAGGCCAGCAGATTGTTAAACCTGCCTATCACAGGGTAAGTAACAGTTCACAATTGAAATGTTCTCCTACACCCAAATACTAAGGTAACTTCTAGAACAGTAAATGACAATATAACTTGGGATGGGATTCATGTTTAGGTGCCAGAACACTGGAATTATTGCCAATATATAGAAGTTATATGTTAGCATCTTGAATATTCCCTTCCCAAATCAGTCACCAAGACTAACTGGCACAACATTCCCCTTGGATCTCTAATAACATTTTCACTGGATCATCTTTCCTTCTTTTTGCTCCCTTGACTGTAATAAATGTGTAGAAATACATTATCCATATTGAGTAAAGATGTAAAATTTTCAGGTAGAATAGAAGAAAAACAATTTAAAAAATGGTTTCAAAAGGCATAAGGTTTTTCTGTATGAAATATAAATTTTTGCCTCTTCACAGAGGTGGCCAAAATCTTTCAGATGTTATATCTTTCTGCCAGAAAAATTTCATTTGGGAGATGGAAATATTCCATGATAATATATCAATTTCATTTAATATTTAGTAAAAATGTCAAGAAGACTGAAATATTGTATTTCCTCTACTGAAATCTTTTAACATTAATATTCTTTAATGAGTTTAACATAAAATTTAAAAAAATGAATGTTCAGTGCAGTTCAATAATATCCAAGTGAAATGTCACTTTGTTTTTATGGAGTGAGTTTTCAGGATTAATATTCCAAAGAGGAAATAGGATTTTCTTTACATTACCAATAGAAATATCAGCTTGCTTACTGGGAACTGGGAGGAATACCCGAATTATAGTGTTTGCTGTCTTGAGCAAGCCTCTTGACTTAAATTTATCATTTATATAACATGAATATTAATAATTATCTGCAAGGGATAGTGTAAGAGCCACTGAGCCAACTATGGCTGTCCCTGACCAAACACATCCCTCTGTGGAGAATTCCGCTTGAGTGAGGACTGCCAAACTTGCCACTTTGAGTATGCAGAACTTTGATTATAAATGGAAGATATGGGTAAGAAAACAGTGCATCTCTGCTCGAGGATTTAGTGCAGTTAACTAATCCACTTTAAATCAGTTCAGATTAATCTCCTGACTGACCCCATATAGACAAACCCTTAGAGAATGCCAAGGAACCATTGTGTTGAGCAGGGTAAAAACAGAGCAGTAAATATTTTCCCTACTGTAAGATTAAGACCAATCTAAAATTGTAAGACAATGTAAACAGCTACTCCCTAAAGGTAAGAGATAAAGAATATTTGGATATCATTCCAAAAAGTGGATGAACTACTGATTTAATCGTCTCACGATGATGATCTAGACATAAAAATGATGGGATTGTGTAGGGCTGATTGGCTTTTTTAACAATATGAGTAGATCTGAAGAGGTAGCGCTTAGGTTTGGTTTAGGTTTGGTTTTCTCTGTCCGTATGCAAGGCAGTTTGTGCTAATGAGGAAATACCTTCCTATTTGAAAACCCAGGTGGAAGTGGCTAATGAACTGATAATGAGGCAAGCAAGCTAGAGGACAAAAGTTAAACTTTCCTAATTGATGAAGAGAGAGAAAGAGGATGCCAAGTGCTGCTGGACGAAGGTGCTGTGCTTGCAGGCTCACAGGGAAAATTTCTCTCATTAGTGAAATCTCTGTGGCTGCAGGACAGAAGCAGAGCTCTGTGTGTGTGGCAGGCTGGAAACTGTAGGCTGTGCCCAGTGCCACACAGATAGGAAGTTTCCCTACACCCTGCCCAGCATATATTGCATGTTAGCTACAGTGCTGCTCTTCCCTTTGAAATCAAAGCCACATGCAGTTTGTTATGACAACAAAAATTTTATCGTTTTAGAATTCAGTTTTCAACCATCCCATTCAGTAAATGAAACGTCAGCATAAAAAGTGAGAGCTATTAAAAAAAAAGGAAAAGCACTCAGAGTGCAGCCTTCATCTGCATTCTCACAGATGTCATGGGAAGTTTGCGTTTCAGGGCCTGCTGCTTGTTGCCTCCATCTGCTGGTGACAATTTGGAAACTCAACAGACACTGAAATTCTGTACCTGGGAGCACAAGCTGCCTCTGGAAAGCTTCTAAATCTCATTCTTCATACCAAAGCCTGCAGATCTGTAAAAAACTAGGCTTAATTTGAAAGTCATTGGTGCATCTGAAAGGGTGCTGTGTAAAACCTGTGTCTGCTACGTAAGGTGATACTACCTGGCATAGGAGACTTCATCAGTCAGCCTGCGTGATAAATCAAGGAGTAAAGCTCACTCATAGCAAGTTCATCATGTTCTAGATAGATAAGCACTGTTCTTCACTTTTTGGAATCCAAATGTAAGAAAAAGGAAACAAAAACTAACTTGGTACATTGGACACTCCAGTATTCCCAGTTTGGCAAAAGCACCAGCCTAATGTCATGGGCTGTGATTCCTAATCCTTTCCTGCCCTTGACCCCCGCTGTCTAGATTCAAACTTGTAACCATTAATGGGGCTGGATCAAAACACTGGCCTTCTGGTGTCACCAATGGTGTTTAGAGGGGATTTAAACTCACTGCTTTTCAGCGCAGTGAAATGAACACAGCAGTAGATTAATGCAAGGATTTGAGCTCACACAGCATGAGAGCTTTCAAAAATAGTGTTAACAGAGCTACAACTGCCTCTTTCAGGGGAAGCAAAATGAGGAGAACAGAACAAATGAACAAACACAGGGCAAAGCCTTGTCACTACAGGCAGGGCTGCTAAGCCCAGGGAGCCAGGGAGAGGGCCAGGGAGTGTGCTGAGATGTGGGGCAGGAGTTCTCCCAACCCTTCATGCTCTCCAGGAAATGGTTCTCAAGCCGGGAAGGGAGGAACAACATGCTTTCAGGCCCCATAACTGCATGTAATTCCCTACCCTAGGTATCTCCTCTTCTGTAGAGGGGAGGTGAGATCACAGTCATCAGGGTTGGCCATGGACGAGTTGCTCACCCATCCTTCCTGTTCGCCTGTGGCCAGGCACAGGTTGAGATTTTGGCAAACTAGGCAATGGACATGAGGCTGTTTCTGAGCTTCTTTGTGCAAGAAGACACAGGTGGTCAAATACTCCTTTGTGCATTTCATCCCTTGCCAGTTGCTCATAGAGGAAGCAGTGGAGTTGCTTTTTCTCCAGCTGCCCTGTGTGTGCCTGGCTCACAGACCCCACAGCCCATGCTGTATCTTCTGTTCAGACTGCAGCAGGATGTGCTCAAGCCCACAGTAATGACAGGAAAACATCTAAAGATTTCCAGCTTTCATTTCAAAGATTTCTACTAACCCACCTGGCTCAGGAACCCTTCCAGTAACAACCTCAGTCTGGGGCTGAGCCTACACTGCTGAATCCAGGGGGAGTTTTGCCATCAACTTCAATGAGAATAGGATCACACCTCAGTGCTTTGTTTTGCCGGTGTTTGTTCCTTGCCTCGGGCAGGAACCTGTTTGTTTGTTTGCTGCCTGTGCTCAGTTCAAACATCAATAGGACTAGCTAAAAGAATTCAAACCATCAGATTTGGGGAAGAGCTCCAAAGTTTGTTTGCTTATCTGAACCAACCCAGGCACCCAGATTCACACAAATGGTCTGGGAATAACCTCAGGAGAGAAGGTTTTCTCAGCCAGACTCCACAGATTCCACACGGGCTGAGCAAGTCCTGGAGTATGAACAGCTTTTGTGCTTCAGGGAAGAGAGGGGAAGCACCCAGAAGCATGTAAATGGCAAACAGCTTTAAACAAGGAGACTAATTTGCCTCCTTACCAGCAGTCTCATCAAAAAGTGACTTGATTTAGTTCCCGAGTAGGGTAAATAGTCCAACCTTATATGACTGACCTTCTTCTGTTTAGAATGGTTTGTATAACCCAGGTGCAAGCCAAGTGCTTCGTTCCAGTATGTGGCTGGAACAGCTCACAGCCCCTTAGGCAGGTTCTGAGGAGGGGAAAGGGATATTGCCTCTCAAGCTGGCACAGCTATTGCCCCAAATACTGATGTAACTCCCCTCTCCCATGTGTTTGCTAGCATGCTGGGATGCTCCCACAGAAAGGTATCTTCTGATTCCTGTATTTCTGCCTGGTCCAGCCACAAAAGGTGCCAGCATCCCAGGATCACAGCACAGGTCAATTCTGGCCCTCTGGAGTCCATCCATTAAGGGGACTTTTTTATCAAGTCTGAAAGCAAGTCAGGCTTGAAAACTGCTTATGATGACTAGACTTGACTTTACTGGAGCTATTGCCACGCTGCCTGCCTGCCTGTCCTCTCCCTCACGGCCCTGCAAAAGGCACCCTCTGCAGAGCAGAGGACAGCACTGCTCCTCAGACCAAACACTGCTAAGTGGGAGTCACTGCTCAGGGCACTTCTGGGCACTCACATTCTCCATTGTCTGAACAAGTTTCTTTGCCAGTGTAGCCTTCATGCTTGCACTTTTAGGTTGTCCCTCTATATAGCATCAGGATACCTAATCATCATCACTGAGAGTTTTTGGCCTTGTGTGAGCAGATGACTGGCATAAAAAAATTCTTTGTGATTAGTATGTCCCACAAATGAGCATTTCTTTCCTCCCAGACTACTCTTCTCAACTTGTAGACTACCCAGCCAAGCCTTCTACAACTTAGAGAAGAAAATGCTTCCTCCAGCTGTCTGCTCTGTGCTTGCTTGCTATCCAAATTAAACTTGCTGTGGACAGCGACACATTCCCATTTCACGCTGGTTTGATTAATGTGTCTCAGCTAATTGTGTGAAGGATTCCAGCCTTTTCGACTGTGAGACCAGGTTATTGTTCAGCCAATCTCGGCTACCATGTGAAAATGGGGGCTGTTCAGTGTTCATGCAACATAATCAAAGGAGGGGCTTCTTGGACTGGGTCACAGAGCAACACCCACTTCTTTGAAAAGATGTTACTATGCTCTACTAAACCTGCAAACCTCTTGCTCAAAGCACGTCTTCTCCCTCCTCCTCTCCCCCCTGCTCTTTTTTTCTCCTTCCAGATAGACAGGCTCCCCCCACCACTCTCCTAGGGTACAAGTGAGAGAGAATGGCTAGATTGTAGATGGGTGAATTTCACATTCCAGGGTTTTTAATATTTCACTTTTATATTTCTTTTACAGAATGATCCTGCTGAGAGGCTGAGAATCAGTGCTCATCATTTCCCCCTCACTGACACTTGAATATATTTTCCCAGGAGAAAACATTAAACAAAAAGAGAAAGAGAGAAAGGGAGAGAGAGAGGGAGAGGGAGAGTGACTGAGCTAGCTTTTCAAAGCCTACTTCTCAACCTGCCCACATCAAAATAAGAGACAACTGGCCCTTTGAAGTCCAGGACACAGACTCCTCTACCAGCCCATGTGGAAATAAAAGAATCCAGTTTTATAAATCACACAGATTTCTCACCTTGCCCACATCAAAATCAGGGACAGTGACCTTTAAAGCTGAGGTTTAAAGGTCCCCAAACCAATCTCCATAAAAATAAAGAGAGTTCAGATAAACTGTGTCTCCAGGTGCCTGTCAGCTTTTCCAGTCTAAACCAGGAGACATTGGTCCTTTGCATTGAGAAGTGGAGAATGTGAGCACTTGCAGCAATGAAATCTCCCTTTATACTTATGTATATCCAGCACTCACTGAGGCAACTTTGCCATGCATGTACCTTTGATTGCATACTAGGCCAGTCCCACTGTTGTTGTAGGTCCTACAACACCGCTGTCATTAAGTAGCTCGAGGGATTCAGTAACACTGAAGCACAGGATTTTTCATAATGAGAATTACTGACCCAAAAATCGAGTGGCTAGTGGCTCAGAGAAAAAGTTGGCCTTCTTGTGAGTTAAATCCTACCTGGGTTATAGTTGGGGAGCTTGGAAAGTCCTGGCCAGGTGTCCTCAGTTGGGACCCCCAATACCTATGCAAAAGAAGAAAGAGTGAGAAGAGCAATTATCTCCTTCTGCCAGTACTTTCCCTTGGTGTGGAGTTGGAGAAAGCAGTCTCAACAGAGAGTGACTGGCCTTTCCTGTAAATCAGCATGGAATTCACACTGCCCTGTCTGGGTCTGGATCTACCACTGTGCGTAAAGGACACTGACATTTTAACACTTGGATTTTGTAGCAGAAAGGATCCTGCTGAGATTGAATGCTGTTGCTGCTGGGAACATCAGTGAAGGCATATGCAGCTTCACTGCCAGGTACCACTTCTGCCTGTGTTTGCCAGCCCGGGGGGCTGTTGAGCCCCTTTCAGTGCTGAAGGTGTCCTCCTGAGCCAGAGCTGCACTGGGGACTTACTCTGCCCATTTGCACTGGCAGCAGCTGATACACTCAGCAGCAGCACAGGCTGTGAGCTGCGACAGAAACCCCTACCTTCTGAGGGGAAAAAGAAAAGCTGGCAGACAGGTCCAGTGGCAGGTGCTAGAAAGCAATCCGGTGCCTCATCCTGAAGGATGCAGAGCTTCAGCAGTGTCTTTGGCCTTTACTGGGAGCTGTGGGCTTCAGAAGTAACTGCTTGTTGAGCAAAGTCTGGGCCAGTAAAGCCTCCTCCAACCTCATTTTAGTTGCTGAAATGTGTGAGTTCAAGCGCATCTGGATTTCTGCAGTTGCAGATGTTCAGTGTTATTATTATCACTTAATGCATGCAAAAGCTCTGTGCCTATTGATATGCATGATTCATGCTAAAGAGGTAAAGCCACATATTTAAGAAGACCTCACAGAATGTGAAAGGGTAGTATAAATCAGTACTGCTAGCTCCAAGCACTCAAAGCTTATCATCCAGACAACCCACAGAATTATCAGATGTCCTTAAAAACCAGTGAAATTTTAACATGAAAAATTTCAGGGTTTTTATTCACTTTCTCTTCTCCAACATTAGATTTGTCTCACAAAAGTTACATCTTGCATAGGATAGACAATCCCCATTCCTTAAAATGTAAGCTGAGATATGTGATATAGGGAACTCAGCCTCACAAAAACTTGTGGTAAGATTGCAAGAAAACAGACATCAGTAAAAAAAATACATTGAAGAAGGAAAAAACATAAAGCCTGATTGTTGTAGTTGTTAAGCATCTGGTAGCTGATTGCTTTTCTCACTCACAGCTGGGAAACAGCTGTGAGGACAATTACAGCTACCTGGAGAAGACAGCCATGAGCAGGGACTGCATCTCACAACTGGTACATATTTGCATGGCGGGCTCTGGAGGGATGTGGCTTGCTGTGGCCCCTGTTTCCAAACTGCTTATGGACTTAGCCTGCCACAGCAAAGAAAAAGGGATAGGACCCTTGTCTCTGCTCACCTGTAAAATCAGTCTTGGGAGTTTTCAAACTCCCCAAAGAGAAGGTGTCTTGCAGTGTTCAGCCATGTGAGGATGTTGGAAGTTGATTTCCACCAAGGGACGAGGACGCATTCATGACCGGTGTGTATATCATGTAAGTAGGGCAGGTCAGCCCAAAGCAAACTCTATATGCACAGGAAAGTGTTGGAATCCAAATTTGAATCCAGAATTTGCTCTCTTTTGCTATCTGATTAGATTTATAGGAAGCATTAATGTGGGCCCTCATGCTTCAAGGTTTCTTGTGAGCCATTGGACATCAGTTCTAAAGGCATCAGAAGAAGCTGGGGAAGTTCAGGATATAGTAAAATCATACTCACCAGGGTCAGCTCATCACTCTGCTTCTTTTGGTGAAGAATTTAAAAAAATAGTTATTTGTGCATGCTCGTACTTTGCTACATAAGGTTTTCAGCAAATACTTTAATTTTGTTTTGTTGAAGTGTGAAAGCACTCAGGGGACCAATCATTGAATGCCATATAAATTTGTATTTTCTGAGCCTTTTCTTTATAAAAGATGCTTTTCCAACCCATGCACTTGGATCTACTTTTGTTCTCCAATGTAACAGGGCAAGTGATCTCCTCTCCCTCATCCTCTTCCCCCCTGGACCTTTAGTGAGATTCCTTGCCAAATCAGACAATGCATTACATTTATTTAATTGAAATTAATTATACTCTGACAATTGTTTTACCTGTTGTATATCCACCCTATCAAATCTAGCTGTTAACTCCCTGGTCCATGCCATCAGACTAAGCAAAGCAGCTTTTCTATACTTTATAGTGAAAGGTCTTGGTGCAGCTCAGTTCAGTCCACTTGGGAAGAGGCACAGTTTCAGCCAGAAATGTTTTTACAACGCCTGTTTTTCAGCAAGTGGTTTCAGTCGGTGTAAATCATTGTCCTCTGTCTCTCTGCCCTCTGACTGCTTGCTTCTCCTGTGACAACTTAGCTGAACGAATCAACCTAGCTGATTTGGCTTACTTTTGTTGGGAAGTTTTATTCTATGTTTTATGTCAAGAAGCCTTGTAGTCATTCATTTGGCATTTGTCGCGTGTTCAGCTCAGCCCCAGAAGCACACTGGTGGCATTCTGCAGCCTAATCCAGCCCACATGAAGTCCTTCTCAGCACTACGTTAATCAATAAGATGGAGTTTTGCATGCAAAACCTATGCCTGATCTCTGAAAATCTGAATGATGGACCTTAAGTTTGTCAGGTTTGCTCACTCTCCATGTCACGAGTGAACTGGAGATGCTGCAGTTCGCATTCATTCATGCCATACTTCCATAACTAGCACTGCCAGCCTTCCCTTCCCATTTGGCCCTGCTCCTGTGCCATGCCTTCTTGAGTACTACTGGTCATTAATGCTGCTGTTTGTGCAGCCAGAAGATGAGCTGGGTAAAAGAGCTGTTCTCATTTAGAGTAAGCCAGGGAGAAAACAAAGTCACAGGTTCCCCAGTTCACGTAGCCCCACATGTGAGAGGTGACACAGGAGCAGCAATGAGCAGCCAGGGATAGAGATGAGGATTGGAGACTGCTTAAGGGGGCCCTTACCTCTAGGAGAATTGTTGGTGAAATGACAGTCAGTCCTGATGATTCAACAGGACAAGCACATTTCACAGAATGGGGATTTTCCAGCCAAATATCTATATGGTTTCTGAACCATCAGTCCTACGTGGAGATAAGCGTGCTGGCTGATACAGACTCATGCACACAAACGCAGATGGTCTCTAAACCAGTGCAGGGGGCCTCTATATTATTAGTACATGAAAAGAACTGACTATTAGAAAACAGTAGGAGTCCCTGTTCTGAACCTCACACTCGGCAAAATATCTCAAGCTAGACATCGAAAGCCGCTAAGGAGCTTTGAAATCTTGGCCTAACACGGAGCCTCATTCCAGGCTGTATAATAACATAAAACCTTCTGTGAAAAGCACTAATTATTTCATAGCTCTTAAGGCTTCCTCATGATTTTTAAATAAGGGGTTTTTTGCCTTCTATAGCCCAAATCCTATTAATCACGGTATTAGTTATAATGCCAGAGAAATTACGATAGTGCTATAACCCTCTAATGCAAACCCACAGGAAATGTATCCAGAGATTGCAGAGACATAACTGTAAGGATACCCTTCATTCACACTCTGAGAAACTGGGCCCTGCCCTGGCTTTGAACCCTGTTAATTGGCCAAGTATGGATTTTTTTTTCTCAGTAATTCTTTTTTTCTCCCACTCTCTATGAAAGAGAAAGTCAGCATTTGTTTAAATGGACTGAACTCAAGTCTTAAGAACTGGATGCACTTGTCTGACATCACAGTCTAGCTACAAACAGAGAGGAAAACCCTACCAAGCAGAAGTGTTTCTGGATAAAGGGATTAAGGAGGAAAAATCTGACTTACACAGTCTTGAGGCTATAAAGTAATTTCTCATGACTTTCCAAATTTCATTTTTTCTGTACTTTCTCCTTTGAAAACCCATGCCTGGGAAACACTCTATGCAGAAGAGTCCCTGGGAGCAGATGTGAAAGGGCAGACACCTACAACAAAAGCCAGTATGAGTCCATAGGCTGACCTTCCTGTTGAGTCAGCAAGAGGGTCAGCAAGAGTGGTCAGGAACATACAGAATCCATCAGTGCTGCCAACTGCCTCGGTTCTACCCAGCTGCACTAAGGACGTGGCCCCACGTTTCTGTTTCCCCAGCAGAAAAAAACAGCTTAAGAGGCTTCTGAATATGTCTGCTCTCACTCACTGCTGCCTTTATAAAGTAATTTCACACTTTCCATTATGCCAAAGCAGTCTCTAGAGCTGCACCATAAACTGGATGATACAAAACGTTCCAAGGTAAAATGAAGAAGGATCTCTGACAAACCTCAGGGCCTTGCCATTTTCAAGGTAGTTTAAGAGCAGTATTAGAGCTCCTTTGTGAGAATATGGTGTGCTGTATCCTACAGTAAGAAAAGGATTTAACAAGAAGCAACAGCATTTGCAGTACCTGCACACCTTTTATGCCTCCTTCAATTTGATGTCATTTTAATTGGCTTTAAATTTTTGATAAGATGACAAACATCAAAGGGAAATCGTTTGATTTACACTTGTGTCTGTAAGAAAGTTGCCAAATATAAAATGGGTTACAAAGTCTGCTATAACTTGGTACATTAGACCAAATTATTTCTGCTATTCACAGGACCTATGCTTAGGACTTCAAAATTAAGTAGGCTGGAACAACAGATTCTTTGTCTCTCCCATTTCAGGGTATATTTTACTCACCATCCAGATCTTCTCCAGCTGTTCACGAGTACCAGAAGTTCCTGCAAATATTGGCTGACCATGGATCATTTCAACAAATATACAGCCTGCACTCCTGCAAGAAATCCAAGGTATTAACTCATTCACATACATGACTTACGTAATGTGATTGTTGGGATGGGCAGGGACAAAAGTAGAGATATAATTGTGGGACTGGAAATTCAGAAATTCTGATTTGTACATGCAGAAATCCTGATATAAGCTGTAAATTCTATATATATATTGCAGCTGAAGTCTGAAAAGTACCAGTCTGATGTGTCAGTATTGTATATCCACCTCATGACGTCTAGTGAGAGTATGTGTGAAGCAAGAGAGGATGTGGGGTGTCTGTATATATGTAAATAAATAGAGGCTTCAGCGAAGACTGATAAATCTCTGTAGTATGGTGGTGGGCAGGATCTAGCACTATAAAAATGCTTACTGATTGTGGAAAGTCAGGAAGGTTTCCTTTGGGAAGGGCCATCTTGTACATCCCCGATCTTGCACCACGTTCTAGGCACTTGCAACTGGCTGTTGTTGCAAGTTGTATGTAGTATCACTAACCTCATCCTAGTCCGACAGATTGAATCACTTGAATTGGAAAGCTCACAAGTCAAAAAGGACCAGAGCATTCACATCCTTCCAGGATTTTAGAAAAAAACAAAGCAGTCAAAGTTCCATACAAGTCTGTTCCTATCTCCTTTTTCTTATCAACACCACCCACAAAAAAAACCCAATTCACCTTTCACCAGCATGACAAGACAGGTGATATCCTTGGAAAAGAAACCCGCTAAGCACCATCTTTTTTTCCATTACAGAACAACTTGTTTCAAGTCTCTGTCAATTAATCCTGTTACAAATCATCTTAAAAAATGGGCGTGGCACAAGCCTGTGGAATATGAGGTTGCTTCCCATGAAAAAAGGGTGCAACATCCAAGTGCTAACAGTTGGAAAGATAAACAGGGAACTACTACACACTACATTGGCTTGAAGGATATAATAGATGCAGAAAGAACCCAGAGGCACTAACTACTAGATTGATTTTTCCTTCAGAAGCAATTAGCTCTTCCTTGGAAAACTGAAAGCAAGATATCATAGCATAAAGAACCTTGCGATAACACCAACTTAAAGTGTTCTTATTTTTACGTCATCCCCTGCACTATACTTGTGCCAAAGCAAATCAGTCACCTTAAAAAACACCCAACACCTGCAAAAATGCTTAATTTTACTAAGGTGGATTAGTCCTCACAGCAATAATGATGAGATAGTTGTAGACAGTCAGGTAGACTGACCTATTTGCAGCTATTCCCATCTCTTATTGTACGGTGTAAAACTCCCCTCATTTACTTTTTAGTCATTTTCCTCAAAACGTTTTCTAGATTTTCTGTCTTTTCACTAAGCCCCATCACAGCTTTTCAGGTTTCAGCGTCAGTCTTTGGTTATAGCATATTTGAGTCCTTTAAGTTCAAGTGTTGAAACCCTTGATTTGTCTTACAAGCTCTTAGAGTAATATTTTCACTGGCTGAGCAATAACTGGTAATCTCTTCTGGTCATCTGTACTCATGTGTTACTCCTTCCACCTTGTTTTTGCAATACTGTAGTTGCTTTTCCCACCTGGCTGTGGTCAGTTGAAACCCTGACATGTAGCTCATCTGTGGTATTCATTTTGGTCATACTTGCACACCAAGTGATGCCAAGCCTGTTTGCAGATCCATATCTAATGCTATTTCTACAAACATCTCTGCTGCACTTTCCCTTAGCTTCCTGTATCCTAACCTTGGCAAGTGTTGTGTGATGAGCTCCTTGCTTTTCTAATATGCTCTTACAGACTCCAGGCATCATGAAACTTAACCCACAGCTGTTGCAACATAGATTTCTTTTGTGTTTCATTGCACTACCACATCACTAGACATTATTTTGGAGCCCACAGATGAATTCTACTGAGACCAGTGTCATACCAACCCTCTGTTTTCACAGCTGACGTACATGCCCAAATGGCTCACCCTATTTTGCAACCACAGGGGCTACTGTAATCTGCTGATTGCATTGCACAAGTTTATCTGTGTATGGTCAAAACAATTCAGGTACACTTGATTTGGAGGGAGAAGAGAATCAGCTCTATGTGGTTTTGAAGCAAGTGATCCTGATGTTCACCCACAGTTTGCGTTCTGATATCCCAGCTAGAAAGGGCCATTAGACTGGCAAAAGCAGGAACTTTTTTTCCTAGGTGCAGCCAGCATTTGCTAAGAATTGTTCATGAGTAAAGAGTTCACTAATAGGCAAGCTGTCAGTTTGAGGAGAGGAAAAACTTGTGGGTTGCTACAAATGTAGCTTCTGGCAGAGCTCTCTTTTGTATTCCTGGTTTATTCCCATTGGCTCTGGAAGACTGTAAATCTCAGTGTCTCTAATAAAGACAAAACTATCAGAGCAACCACAACTGCTGGAAAGGAGTTATTTGTTTCTTGTGGCGAGATTCAGTTGACCAGCTGCCTTTAACACCTGCTTGATATTGATTCATCAGTGACAAGTATGACTGTTTCTACCTCTGTTTCCAGATTAAATATATTTTTCTTTACAAAAAAAGGCCAGAAGTAGTTAGAACAACTAATGTATGGGTACCCCCCTCTTTTCCTAGGTGGTTTTGTCTACCTGATAAAGCAGGACTTTGGTAACTAGTACTAGTCATCATATTAGATTTGCAATAGAGGCCTTGACTTTCCTTACTGCTCTAACAGCATTATGAGGACCCTTTTGTTAATGACAATGATTCAAATGCATTTACTTTTAAATATTTCTAAATATTTAAACTTGGCGTTGCTTCATTTTCCCCCTTTTCCTCCTTACCCCTCTGATATTAATTTCTAGGGTCCCCTTAGCCCTTCCGGTCTATAAGTTTCTTAGAGGGTCTCAGTCCCATAAAGCTGCCTTGGGAAGAGATAGGGCAGAGAGAAGGATCTTTTGGGAAGAGATCTAGACATGATGTTTTAACATGTGCTAGATATGCACATGAATCAAAACAGTGACAGCTAAAGTAACGGGAGAGGTTATAGGGATATTCAGGAAGTATAAGCAGATCTGGTTCATATAGTACCGTTGTATCTGTCTGCAATTCCTGGGGTAGGAGTGAACACTGCACTTAGACCTCAGCCTGCAGTGCTGCATCACACAGTGGTGAGACATTTTCATAAGGATGAAGATCTAGGATATCTCTGAGGCATCCCAGAATTCCCTCTCCATGTTTGGTTTGGTTTGTTGTTGGGGTTTTTTTGGCATCAGGAGATGGCAATTTTGTATTTAACCAGAAATATATCCATTCTCTTGTTCCTCACCAAGCATGGTCTGTATAGTGGAGCCCTTAGCCTATATCTCCCAGTTTGGCATAGAAGGGCAATGTGAACCAGTCTGAGGAGAAGGCTGTAGTGGGCCCGGCAGATCCACGTTAAATGACTGCATGTCAACTCCTATTCTACATGAATCCACCTGGGAAGATCCCTGTGATTTTTTTTTCTTTCTTTTTTTTTTAATGGAATATTAGACAAGGAAAGCCTGAATGAAAAGAAGACATGTCTTAAGGCACTCGTGATGTTAGCAGCCACTAGTGTGGCACATGCCTAAAGCACTTGGTGTTTTCTAAAAAAAGAAAAAGAAAGTCCTTCTGATATACAGTGTAATCTCCCTGAAATCCCTTAATTGAATCTTCTAAAGTCCTGAAGATATAGTGAGGGAGAAAGAGAGAGAAAAAAAGATACAGAGAGATTAAAGCAGCTTTTCTGGTTAGTCCAAGAGTGACTGAGTCTCCTTCTATATCTCTCTCTTCATCTATTCAAGGCCTCATTCACTTCCCATGTGCCTCCCACTGACAGTATTGCTGCTCAAGCACACTATGCATGAATTGCCATAATGTTTTATTTTGTTATAATTGGTTTCTTTAAACCAGGGCTTTGACACCCACAGTCTCATGCCATTACCAAGGGCATTCTGACCTGCCTTCATGTAAATTGCAGCATCCAAAAGACATAGGTTTTTTTTTCCTTTCTCCCAACAGACAAGTAACATCTGTGTGAATTCACATTATTTCCTAATAGACAAAAATTGAACTTAAATGCAGTGTACATCAAGATAATAAATGACTCTTGTTAGAGGAAGTTACTGAATAGAGCTCTATTCTCTCAGCGTGACATCTTTCTTTAGGGCAAATACTCTGAATGTTGTTATTATAAGGAGGCATTATAACAAAGGTGCCCATAGTGTGAATGTAGTTCAGTGGGACAGAGAGCACTGTGCTGTTAGGGCTGGTCAGAGAGCTGGATGGGAACTTGTATACCACTCCCTTGTTGCTGTTCATTACACTAGGGTGGAGTTATGCAGTGGGGATGTTGGTTTTCCACAGGCAGAAATGACACACTTTCTGTGCATAGCCAGCTTTGGACAGTGGTCAACTTTCAGGGAAAAAAACCAACAGGCTTATGCCTGATACAAAGCCTTCAATCTGCTAGGCAGGCATCTTCCTCAAACTCCACAGACATTTCTGGGACACTGTCTGGAGGGAAAGATAACAGGTAGTGGGGGAGAAAAGACAGGACTCTTTAGACTGGCTTAGCAGCTGGAAGCCATTAGAATTTAGCAGGGTTTTCCTCCTTGGAGATATCTTTAAGCAATTAAATTAGCAGCAGGCCTAGGGAAGTAAACAACCTAAAAAGTCCCATTTCCCTGGACTACTCTCCAGACTTAGGCCATTGGAGTGCCTGATAATCTGCGGAGCTCTGGAAGGAGATACAGCCTGGGAAGAGCTGGGGCTTTGCTGTTTGTAAACTTAGCCAGCTCTCTTCTTGCACATTCTTCAGCCTGCTGCACTCCCACCCTTTCCCAGCCTTTGACTCTGCACAGCAGTTAAGAAAAGTCCTGGTGGGACAGATACAGACAGAAGATTAACTGGTCTGAAGAAAGGGTGAAGCAGAAACACAATCTACAGATGTAAAATTGCCCGGAATAAGGAAGGTCTCCTGCAACTTCATGAGCTGCATGCTCTCCATGAGTAAGTCAGGACTGTGTTGCTGGAAGTGGGCTTGGGCTGGTGCAGAAGTGAGCCAGAAGGCAGATGAACCCTAGAGCCCAGCTACACATGCAGACCAGCCCAAAAGGCCCAGTGGGGCCTCTGTGAAGCCCTCATGTTCTCCTGCTTTCTGCCTGCTCTCAGAGACTCCTCTCCCTTCAGCTCTGCTATCGTGCAACTTGTTTCCTGTGATTCCCAACCACATTAAGATTTTGGGGTAGAGTTCATAAGGTAACAGACACAGTCCTCCTGTGTGAAATGCAGACTGCATCTGAGACATTTTCTTTGAGAAGAAGGAAACGTATCACAGAAATAGTGAAGATCTCAGACACCTTTCTATCTCCAGATGCATCGAGAAACCCTTTAATGCCACATTTTGCTACCAAGGCCAAAGTAATTGACAGTGCAGTTGTGGGTCCATTTTTTCTTCACAAAGCTATTACCATAGAGAGCTATTACTAACTCAACTGGCTGCATTAAGCAAAGGTGTTCTGTTGCAAGACCTGAAAATGCTTCATACGTGTTACCGAACGAGATGTACATCTCTCATGAATATTATCACATGAGGTTTATATCAATCCATAGCTGAGATGTAGTGACATCATTCCCAAAAACTTCTGTAAATCCAGCAGTACAAAACTCCCCACTGCTCACACATTTTCTGCTCACAGGTGTTAATTCCTCTACTTACAACTGTACCTGCTCTACCTTTGGTTGACTTAATTCAGATAAAGATGACTTTTCCCAGGGGCCCCAGATGCTTAGAAATTGGTCAGTACCAAATATCTATATCAGAAGAATAATCTGTAGCTCCAAGCAACACATCAGGAGGACGGTACCAGAGTGTCACCACTTCAGAGGAGTATGTCTGTCTGGGGATGGACTGGGCACGAGCAAGGCCTGCAAAAAAACCCAAACAAAAAACTGCTGTGTTAGGACAGTTCTTCTACCTGTACAGTGCATAGATGATAATAATTGGAAACAGGACATTATCTTGGATCTTTAAACACAAATAATCCCAAGCAATTGACAAAGAAAGTGTGTCTGGAATATACCTCTGGGGCAGATCAGATCAAGCAATATGCTGTGTTTTTTAGGGCTTTATAATTTGTGACTACAGCAGCCATCCCAAACCAATGCCAAGAAAGCCTTTTGGTTCAGCCTGTTGCTGTGGACTCTACACATTACATTGTTTTCTGAACAGAGAGGGCTTGGTTCTCTGTTCTCTTGAACCAGTTTTACGTGGTTTTGCTCTGACTTAAATGAGGTTAATCCCTGCACCTCTCAGTATAAATACAAGAAAGGCTGGACTGACCACAGAAATAGTTTCCTAAAGTTCATTTAAAGGTTATGCTTCTATGCCTTAATTAGCTGTGGATACAGATCTATATGCATGCTAAAGCTTTGGTCTGAGCAGATATATTAGCAGTATCCAAACTGTGACTCACCAAAGTCGGCTAATTTAAGCTCACCGAGGCAACTGATGAGCAAGTTCTGGGGTTTCAGATCCCGGTGAAGAATGTGTTGTTGGTGGATGTAAGCCAGGCCGCGCAAAAGCTGGAACATGAAGAGCTGGAAAAAGCCAACAAAGAACTGAAATGATTTGGTGTGACTTTGCATTGATATATTAACTCTGAACTTTAGGAGAACCCTGGAACAAAGCAGAGACAAAGCAAGTAAGAAACCAGTAAAAATCTCCAAAAGGAGTAGAGCTGGCTGAGGAGGAGAAAACTGTGGTGAGTTGTGACTGCCCTACAGCTTTCTGAGGTTTTCAGGGTGGAATATTTGGCCAGGAGGGCAGTTTTACAGTCCCTAAATGCACATTTTGGAAATTTAACTTCTTTTTAGAAATGGACTATTGGTTGCAGGAGCAAGGTCTGCTTGTCAAAAGACAGAGCCAGCTTTCGGAACAGCAGCTATGCTTATTTCAGGGTTCAAGACAAAGACACGCACCCAAACAAGACTAAGGCTTAAGGAGCTGAAGCTTTGTCCCTTTGAGTGAGATGGCACCAGCTGAGGGAGCTCTGTGGCTGCTGTACGTGCTGCCAGTGGAGCAGGGAACTGACTGACCTGTCAATGGGAACAGTTGGCTCCAAGCTGGCAGAAAGCATCAGGACCTGCTTTAGACAGATACAGCAAATAAGACATGATGACTGAATGAATCAAGCAAGAAAGCAGAAAAATCAGCAAGAAATTAAGCCAAGAAATAAATATCTAACTCCCACCATCATGGCAATGTGAATAAGCCTGGGGTAAAGCAAGTTGGTCTGAAGCAAGGTGTGAAGTTGGACAGTGGATAGAAGCAAAACACAGCAAAAGTAATTAGACTTCACCAGAGAAAAAATATTTTTTCACCAGAAGTTTAATCTAAAGAGGAGGAAAAACAGTGACACCCATAGGTCATTTTTGTACCAGAAAGGTGTCCCTGTAACATTCTGCACACTTGCATCATATTCCATAGGAATCACTCAGAATAAAAGCAAACAATGTTTGCCAGCAAAAATGAAGCAAGCTAGATGACCCTCCTGAAGGAGCAGTAAATAATTTTGCAGTTCGGTTCCTGCTGACAATGAGGATTCCGGACAGGAAAGCAGAGCAGCTGGCTAGTGTTTGCTCACAGAAGTGCCAGTGAGTACATATCACAGCCATGTGCTCCATGTGCTTTAGGAGCCTGTCTGGTAGCAGAACCCTCGAGATCTGTGCCAAAACTCCAACACTGCATCTTGGACGTATCTGAGCCTTAAGGATGTTTAAAATCTGAGGCCTCAAGAAATTTTATTAAAATTGGTGTTGCTTAACAACTATCTGGAAAAAGATGTGAACAAGGTGGCAACATTTGAAGATGACAGAAGTATTTAGATTAGTTGTGATAAGAAGTGACAGTGAGGAACTTCAGAGAGATCTGACAAAGCCAGATGAATAGGCAGTTTGATAAGACACAAAGTTATTGTTGACAGCTGTAAGATAAATTAACTGAAGCTGCTCAGGAAAAGGACCCAGGCATTCAGTGAGGACATCTGCCTGAAACCTTAAGCCAATGTGCAGGAACAATCCTGAAAGTTAATTAAATGTGAAGATGCATAGAAAGGAGAGTAGGAGACTATTATAACATCAATCTATAAAGTAATGGTACATCTTTGGCTGTGTTCAAATCCAGTCAACTAATCCCAAAAGCTATAGTAGAAACAAAAGGGATTTAAATGACTGCAAATATGAAAATAGTTCCAGATGAGGAGAGAGTGAGATTTGAGAGTTTTTAATTAGAGAGATGAATAATGTGTTGTAACGATAAGAGGATACAAATTTGTACGGAGGCAGATCTCCTTGCCACAAGATGTCATTGTGCACAAAAGCTGAATGTTTGCTTGCAGGCTCAGAAAATGGGAAGATGGGCTAACTGAATAAAGGCTTGGAAGCTGAGAGGGAGGTTGTTACATCTTTATCAAAGGCATCTTTTCTCCAAAGTTTTTGTCATATATGTAAAAATATATATAATAGTAAGCAATTTACAGGGAACATACATAGTGGAAAATAACACTTCCTCATGCTTCAAGGAATACTAGTCTTCTAAGGAACTTACCATAACATTGCATGAATGGAGTCCTCCAGGATGCTGGCCCATGTACTGTGCTAGATCTGTGTGCTAAATAAAGGAGGAGAACTTAAGGCAAAGCTACTGGTGTAAAATGCTTCTACCAACAACATCTCTTCTGTAAATGGAAAAAATTGCAACCACTACAGAGGTGTTTCTTTCACTTTGCCGAGCAGCTGATCTGGTGCAGCACACAAGGATGTGCTTAAGTGCTGGGTCAAATGAGGGACCTGGCTGATCTGTTATCTCGCCCCAGCAGTTTAGGACCTGAAGCTGCTAGTTAACAGAAGTCATACTTGTTCCAGAATTAATCATAAAACTGCAGTAAGAAGACATAGCTTCTGTATTTTCTTTATAATTTGGTTGATAGCTATCAGCAAAAGCAACAGAAGTAGCAAGACTCATGTGGAGAATTTTATTGGCATCCTGCTCTCCTCACAAGAGCAACCCACAGCTTGGTCATGGTGACCACTGGGGTCAGTGCCAAGTCTGACCCCAGCTGGGATGTGAGCTCATATCATTATTTCCTATCCTTGCTGGGGCTCAAGAACAGTACTTTTATTGTGTTGGCAAGGCAGAAACGAAGGTAAATAGTGTCTGCCACCCCAGTGAGCACAACACGTGGAATCATTTTTGCATACAGCTGTCGTATATACAGAAAGAAAAGAGTAAGTCTGTGTGGCTTGAAGGCAGGACATCAAGAAGGAAAATCAATCATTGCACTAAAGGATTACAACTGGTTTCTTTGTAGATGTCTCATAATGCAGTAAATTCATTATGCAGCCGCTTCCCAACACTTCCCAGTACAAGCTCCACAGGAAGCGAGAAAAACATCAACTCACCATGTACTCAAGGACAAATGTTAGTGTCTCCTTGGTCTGGATAATGTCATGAAGCAGTACAATGTTGGCATGTTTCAAACCCTTGAGAAGAGAAGCTGGAAAAACACAAAAGGAAGATCAACTTAACCACTGCTGCTGGAAGTGGAAGGACATAGTGCAGAGAACAAGGCAGTGGAAGTAAAAAACTGGGGAGTAATAGTCCAGACTCGGAAGTTCTGTAAGAAGTGGCAGATACTGAGTCTGAAGGAGAACGGAACAGGTCCTTAGAGAAGCAAGCATCAGTGCTCCAGGCTTGGCAGGAACCCATCCTTCTCTCAGAGGTGGGGTCTTGCCTCTGTTAGAAATAGCATTTCACAGTTCCCAGCTGTCATAAGCTGAGGAGAAGTAATTTCTTCAAGGTAAATGCTGAGAGACAGGAGCTGGAAGCTCCCAGAGCCAGAATGCAGCAGCCCCCAGCCTGTCACTGAGCTTCTCCCATCCACCTCCTGGCATGTGCCCCCAGCAGGGCCCTTAGGAGAGAATCTGGGGAAAAGCTGGGTTTCTACCAGTTTCCAGCTTCACAATAATAGGGTGTAAAAATCTGCCAAAAAAAATCACTGTATATGTAAGCTGAATTCTGAGTTTTAGTTTTGTGCATATTGGTTACTGTTTCTGATTTAAAACTCTAAGAACAGAGATTATGAAATTTCTGAGTGAATAGTAACTTGTTTGTATTTATACAATTTGGCACACTTTTTTCTTTCAGCCTAATTGTCTAAAGGCATTATTGCAACTGTATGTCCCTGGTCTTTAGGTCCTGACATGCCTTTGCCAAGTCTCAGCACATCTAGGGTGTGGTGATGGAGGGGGCAGCACATGGAAGAGTCTCTGCCTCCGTATAGTTCACAGAGCACTGACTTGTGCTAAGACAAAAGCTACAGTCTTCTGAGCCTTTCAGACATGCCTTAGGTTTGTCATGGTAGAGCAGGCTCCAGCCAGCACACTCATGAAAGCAGCTCAGCAAAGTCTCAAATATAGTCTTTATGGGGGGAAGAGCATGTACAGCTTCATCATTAGCTACCTTAGGTGTGGGACAATAGTTCCAGTAGCTCTGTACAGAAGGGGGATGTGGAGAAGAAGTGGAGCTGGGTTTGCTTTTCCTGTAGATTCCTGGCACTATTGAAGAACCCCACCCAGCTGTGCACAGACAGTAAACACAAACTGCACAGACAGAAGCCCCAAAGCTCAACAAAAACAAGTGTCCCTGACTCCAGATTTTAATTCAACTTCTGGCATGGCAGAATAGCCTCAGAGCTGTCCCAGACAGCTGATTAAAACCAAATTAGTTTACTGTCAGACCGCACAGTCCTACAAATTTCATTCAGATAAGGCCTGGGCTTACAATCTTATTTCTGCTGAATTAGTTGAAGCACACAATACAGAGCTTGGGCCCGACGTGGGAGACAGAATGAGTTTTGCTCACAAAAAGCTGCTTTTTTGTTTTTCAAATGATCTGAAAAAGATATTTGAAGATTTTCATGCTGGCAAAGCAAATTTGTACTGGATTAGCGCTTTGCCTTTTGTGACCGTAACAATTTCACCCGGTTCTAAAAGCCCTACTGCCAGAGATGAACTGTATGACACAGCTGTGGCCCAAGCCTTATGGCAGTACCGAGACTACTGAGCAATCAAGGATACCTAATTCAGCACAACTACTGGAAAGAGCACAGCTTGCAAATTAAGTCTTGCACAGGGCTTAGTGCTGCTGCAGCTAAACTGCCTCTACTACTCATGCTAGTCCATTTAGCTACCCCCAGTACGTGCACCTAATTGCCTATTAACCTAGTAAAGATACTATGAATAGGGCCCATGAGCTGCAGAAAGGGTCTGCTAACGTGGCTCTGTGATACCTCAAAAATCTCATATGACCAGAACTATTGCTCCAGAGGAGCAGTACGGAGGGTCCACAGTAACAGAGAGAATTCAGGCCTCTGGGAACTGCTCCTCACTTGGTTGCTTCTACAACCCCCTGCTGGGGTGTCAGGTGCTACTGCCTGAACTGAGCTTTAAGCATTTTGTCTCTGTGGGGCTTCCTGGGGTGAAGAGTCTCTTTGTCAGGGGAGCGCATTCCTCCGGGGGAGCAGAGAATGCGCCGCGTTAATAAATCTTGTGCCTTGTTTTTGCTACTGACTTACATTGTAAATTTGAGGTGTCAGATGCTGCGAAGCTCAGCAGTACACAAAAGACCTATTTAAAGTGGACCCTTCTTAGGATCACCCTTGTTTTCTCCCATAATGAATGAAGTTGAGACTCTCAGCCTGTCCAGTAGAGCATGTTAAAGGGCTGCTGATCTTTAGTGCATCATTAGTTCAATGTAGATAAAGCTTTCAGGGCTTATTTTACTGGTGGGCTACAAGTGTAAACTCAAAGCAAAAGCACCACAGCAAATGACTGTACAGGAAACTGTAACACAAGCCATTCTGTAAATAGGCATATTTAGATATCTCTTTGCTCTCACCCAGAGTTGGACTAAGGATTTTGTAAACCTTCTTGTCTCGATTACACTGTTATAAACCTGGAGTGGATTCAGTGACCTCTCTCATTATTCTGAGTTGACTTGTATGAGTCAACTTGTTGACTTGTATGAGCCTGTGCTAGGGCTGCTCTGTGAAAGCTGGCACATCTGGTCCCTCACTTGCCATCCCCGTGGTGACAACATCAACCCTAGTTTTGAACTGCAGTAAGAAAAAAACCCCAAAATATGTGTGACCTCTTACATTGATAGCTTTCACTAATAGCAGACAACAGGCCAGCACAAAGATTGCATATTTCTGTGTAAGGAAGAATCTAGATTATGATCCTCTTGGGATTGCACAGCAGATGAAAATAGAAGCCTTTGTGAACTTGGTCTGCAGGGACATGTAAATACATTCAGCCAAAATCAAGCACTTAAGCAAAAGCACTTCTTTCTCAAAGAAATTGAGCAAGTTGCAGACATTTTGCCCAGTGCTCTACAAAGTCAACTGATAAAAAGAATTTCTCACTGGGCTGAAATGATAGATATTACTAAATACCAGTTTTATTGAAAGTATTTCTCTTCAGGCTGGGATCTGTGGTGCTCTACGTATCAGCCAGGAAAGTGGCACAGCTGTGATAACAGCAAGCAGAGATTCTGGTGCAAAGGGCACTGCCAGTCCACAACTGCCCAACGTAAAAGCAGCAAAACCTGTGTAGTTTCTAGTGGAAGTGAGAAAGCAACTACAAAGCAGGTGGCAGGCAGGGTAAGAGGGCCCTTACACTGCTAGGAAGGACATGCTCTGGCTGCAGCTGGCACTTTCCTTATCACAAGCATGGATGCATCTGTCACAAGGGCATATACCAGAGGTTCCTCCTCTGTCCATCACATGCCTACCCTGCCCAGCACGAAGACCTCCTCCACGAGGGAAAAGGAAACCAAGAGGTTTGGGAGAAGGACAGCTGGCACACCGAGTAGGCAAGAAAGGACCGAGAAAGGCATCACTCGGAGCCTTTTCAGGTTAAAACAAATGCTCTTCAAGGATGATGTTCCTTAATGTCTTACCTTCTCGAATGGCTGTAAAGGGCACTCCCTCCTCTGTCTCCAGCCTGATCACTTTCAATGCCACCAACTGGCCGTTGATCCTGTCAGGTCACAGTGGAAAGTCACTCGAAGCACCTCAGTGCTTGGCATGACAGCATTAACAGTCTCCTGGGGTGCTCCACACTTACCCTAGCAAAACTTCCAGGGCTCACCCACCCACCCAGACCAAGCTCAGAAAGGAATTACAAACCTCCTCTGTCTTGTCTCCATGAGCAGCGAGCTGGGAGCCAGCCCACCTGGCTAGAGCAGTGACTGGGTATTGCTAGACCATGGCTTTGAGCAGTGTTCCCAGACTGCCCTCTCACAGCTTTCCTGTCCCGTGTGATGGCAGCATGGCCTCACCCCCAATTTTTCCATCATGCAGAGATCCCTCACATCAAGGAAAACCTTTGCTCCCTCCCTGGTTCAGCCAGACAATTTCATGACACCCTGCTGTGGACCAAAGTGTCTTCATGGAGCCTCCATGGCTGTAGCGGAGGAGTTCCTTGAAAAATTGGGGTGGGGCTTTGCAAATATCTTGGTTAAAGGCAAAGCTGGACCTTTGATTTGCCTTTATGTTATGTAAGAGGTGTTTTCACCAGGCAGCGAGAAGGCAAAAATGCTCACCTGCTGATCCCCTTGTACACAGTTGCACAGGATCCTTCACATAGCTTCTCTAGATGTACATAGGATGTGGCAGCTCCCAATGGGATGCCTTGTCTCTGCTTCATGAAGAAATTGGTATGTGTTTTAGATTGCTGGGTAGAACAAGAAGCTACTAGCATGTCATTCAGTAATTAAATACTGATTCATTGCTGGAATAATCACAGGATGAAATATCTCCTGTCTGGCTCTGTGGATGCTGCATACTCACCCATTTGAACCTCTCCACAGCATCCTGCTCCTGGGAAGGATCAGTGTAACTCCAAGGCCTCTGTGTCCTGCACCTCCAACTCTGGAGGGTGTGGAGCTTCGGGGACTGCAGTGAGGATAGAAAAAGGGATTCTCTGGTTACATCTGACAGCTGGCATAAGAAAAGGTGACAAACTAGGTCACTGGCAAACCCCCATTTTACACGTGATTTTTTTTTCTCCTTCACATAATTTTCATCTCTGTCTCCACCAGTCATAGATCTCCAGTACTGCTTCTCAGCTCCATCTGTAAGAGGAGCAACTGTCTGTGTACTCCTGTGTTGGTAAATGGAAGCACTCACTCAGAACACACAAATTTAACTGCAGAGGGCGCTTCTACTGGTATAATTCTAAATGCGTGTTATTCCCCCTTACCCTTGATTTATTAATCTCTAGATAACAAGCTGTTAGGGCAGGGACTAAAAACCAAGTGCGGGAGTGAAATTTCAGGAAGTTTACATTTAGGCATTCTTCTCCTCCTTAACCCCCTTGCCCCCTTCCTTGCCATTGTATAATTTACAGAGCCTGTTAATTTGGCCCACACAGCATAGCAGTGCCATACCCTACACAACTATAAAAAAGGTAGTAATGAATGGCAGGCAGGCTGCAAGCTCCTCCTGAGCAGCTACACTGAATGGGTGTCTGCATTAAAATTTGACTCATATACAACACAGGATTTGTAATCTATGGCATGCTGCCTCCTCTAGAACTGTAGGTTGTTGGCTCCCTCCCTGTTTTACAATCCCTCATTGGCACAGAGTGCAATCTGCTTTCCCTGTTCATCACATCAAAGGCATTTATTGTCATCTGAAGTATGGATTCTTTCAGTAGCTTTACAAGCCTGAAGCTGCAAAATTTGATGCTATCTGGTTAGAAGCAAATGTGACTATTCTGCACTCCCACAAGTGGAAGAACCCAGGCTTAAGCTATCTCAAGGCAGAAGTATCATGGTGTGATATTAAATACCTCTGCTCTAGTCGCTGCTTCCGTATGCTGAAGGCCTTGGACGTGTTGGGAGCCCCTTCTCTCTGAACAGCAGCTGCAGCATCCTGGTCTGACAGCACTTACACACAGCGTGTCTCCCATGTTGTCCTGTTTCAATTAAAATGTATCTTTTTTCTCCTTTGCTCCTCCTCATCCCTCTGTGTCTGTAATAACAGTTCATATGACCCGCATGAGGTCTCTGCCTCAAGTAGTCTTGTGATTTCTGCAGTTTTCCTTTGAAAGTCCAAATTCACCACTGGAGTAACTCCATCGATTTCAGCCTTCCAAAAACAGCCAACATTTTTTCATACCTGAAGCTGAAGAATTAAGCAGTAGAAACAAACTTTCTGCTTGTACATATTTCTTTCAGTTAAGCAGCTCTCAGTGTAATATGTTGGATGATGAAGTGATAGGTCTCACACAGGAATAGACCTTGACTTCCCTCCAAGCCTATAGCAGTTCTAGGCTTCAGGCCTTAGCCACTGGGCTCTAAGTTGAGCTCTCTCAGAAGTGTGGCTGAGCTGTGCTTTCTGCAGGAGCTGCACAGTGACTGTCCTTGCTTTGGCATTTACGTCAGCATGGGGACCTGTCTGCCCCCATTGTCTAGGGGGTGCCATGAGCTGACAGAAAATAGTCTTGTCCACATGTCAAAATAGCCAGAGTAAACTGATTAATCCAGCCCAAAATAGGTTTCATCAATTATGTACTGAGCAAGGAACACAGAGTGGACTTACCCTGGATGTGGACAGACAAAAGTCCCTTTCTTTCAGTCCCCCATGAATAGGACTCACTGAGCAGCTTCCTAGGACTAGCACCCAACCCACACAGAGAAAATGCTGACAAGGGTGAGGGAGTAGGCGTTATAATGTGGTATTCTTATGGTGATCCCTTAGACCCTTCAGTTTTCATTAGAATGCATCATGTGAAATCTTCCCTTTGCTTCACTGTTTTGATGTCTAAGAATAACACTCTTTCCTTGAACAAAAGGATTTTTTAAAGCAAAAATGTCCTGGGAAGGCAGGAGCAATTTCTGTGTCTCGTTGCAGCCAAATCGTCAGCCTTTGCATGGCTAGAAGAACATACCTGGAAGGCTTGATCGCTTTCATATAATGTTCTTGTACCCTCCCCAGTTAACCATAATTTACTAAATAACTATCATCATGGACTTTGGTCTTCTCTTTATTTTCCACATATACTTTGAGCCATCAGAATACAGCAGAATTTGGATGTGCTGTCCAGGCATGAGAAAGATTGTCTAGATGCAACATAATCAGTAACAAACTGGTTGTGCAAGCATTGTTTGTACATCTGCACAAAGGCTCTTATTCTGGAAAACATTTTTTTTGTTATGACCAAATAATACTTGCATTTTAATAGAATGGAGAGATAAATCCACAAAAACCAGACAATATAAAATATTCATATTAACTAATATGAAGATTATAAATTTTAATCTTGGGTACATTTTGTGTTAGGGAAGAGAGGGGAAATACTCTGTTATGAAGAGAAGTCATCCAACTTTTGCCAGTTAGCAAGAGCTGATAAATGAAGAAAGCACGGTAATAGCTGGTGGCTGTGGTTATTGAAAAAAATATGAAGTAATCGTTCCAGTTAGTGGACGAAACACTCTAACAGAAATGTATAATAGCTATACTTAGAAAATGTAAGGATTTATAAAGGAGAGCCTATACCTGTCTTCGGAATCATGATTTTTACATGAAGTCTTCAGGCAACATAAGAAATAGTCTACTGAGAGTTGACGTGACATTTAAAGTACGTTTTATAAAACTTGTTTGAGTATATACACGTGTATAGTGTGCATGTACCCATATAGGTGTGTATATATATATATAAAAAAATTATATATATAGTGTGTGTATACCCATACAGGTGTCTGTATATATAGTGTGTGTATATACCCATATATATGTATATATACACACATATATAAATAGTGCGTATATACCCATATAGGTGTATATATAGAGTTGTATATATCCATACAGGTGTATATATTTATATAGTGTGTATATACACATAGAGGTGTATTTACCTCTATGTATTTTAACCGTATTCTGTAAAATTTATGCAAGTAGAAAAACATGCATAGCTGTGTGTGCAATTTGTACAAACCGATGTGCTGACACACCTATTCAGATCAGGCTTGTCCCGAGGGGAGGCTGTAGATCGGCCCCTCGGGAAGCTGCGGTGTCCCCGCTTACAGCAGTAGCTGAGCGGGGGGGGTTTGCGGAGCCGTTCCCGCTCCTGACCCGCCACCCGTGGGGGCCGTTCCGAGCTCTCCGTCTGCGCCTCGAGCTCCCCGGGACACGCACCCACGTGTCGCTCCCGTCTCTGCCTCTTTTGTCCCGGGCGGGGACCCGTCGGCGCGCGTGCCGGCTCTGGCCCCGCCCCCTGCGCGCCCCGCGCCCCCGCGTGAGTCAGCTGAGCGCGAGGGGCGGCGCGAGAGCGGGGCCGGGGCGGCATCTGTGAGGGGACACCGGGGGGACAGCCGGGCCGGGAGGGGCGGCACAGGTGAGGGGACACCGCGAGACAGCCGGGCCGGGAGGGGCGGCACAGGTGAGGGGACACCGGGGGGACAGCCGGGCCGGGAGGGGCGGCACAGGTGAGGGGACACCGCGAGACAGCCGGGCCGGGAGGGGCGGCACAGGTGAGGGGACACCGCGGGACAGCCGAGCCGGGAGGGGCGGCACAGGTGAGCGGGGACTGCGGAGCCGGGAGGGGCGGCACGGGTGAGAGGGGACCGCGGGCACAGCGGGAGAGCCGAGCCGGGGGCCGGGCTGTCCACAGCGCCCTGCGCTGCCCGCGCCTCCCCCGGCGGAGCGGCGGGACGGGAGCGGTGTGCGCGGGGCGGGGGGCGAGGGACGGGCCCAGCGGGGTCAGGCTCGGCTGTCCGGCTGCCACCGCGCTCTGGGGCTGGGACAGCACGCTGAGATGTGGGATCTGAAAGTCTTCTCCCTCTTGCTGCGAAGAGACGTCTAAAGTGTAAATAGCGTGCTCTTCATCGCTGTTTCGTTTAAAACTCCTCTCCCTTTGCGTGGCGTGGTCGCTCAGGAGTAAACACAGTTTCAGCTTTTGGAGTGTATTGAGGGACAGTCCCAGTGTGGCTGCAGTATCGTGTACAGGTGGCGTAGCTCGCTGTCACTGTCACAGACCTCCTCTCCCAGAACCAAGATGTTGGTGAGGCACTGGGGAGCAGCTGGACTGGTCGTAGATGGTCGGTGATTAATCACTGCTGCTGTAGGGCAGCAGTTTGCAAAAACTACCTATACCTAGAATCTTCCAGTTTCTGCAGAGCGAACTGTCTTCAGAAGGGGAAGCACCTGACAATGTGCTGAATTAGGATGTAATTTCAAAAGGAAAAGTGGTAGAAGGACGTTCAGAAATTTTTTAGTCTCTTATGAGTTTGGTAAATTTTAAATTACTAATTGCATGCTGTAGCAGATAACTTTCAGCTGTGTACTTTTAGCTGATACCAGGCCCTTTCTTTGTTGTCCTTGGTTTTTTTTTTAATCTTTTTTTACTGATTCCTTTACTGTTGTATTTTGTTTGCTGCCATCCTGCACTCACTGGAACTGGCATTAAAAGCTTTGAGCCCTCATCTGAAGGGATCGCTACTGTCTTTCAGTAGCAAGTTGTTTTGTTTTGTTCTGAGCAGATCTTAATCACACAATGTTAAAAGCAGCGGTTGTACCTAGTTAGTGCTGACCAAAACACAAGGGCTTCTTGAACTGATAACTCATTGTAAGTTAGCAACAATAAATTATGTGTGTAGGCCAGACTGGTGTTGACAATTCTGGTTTGAATGAAGAAGCTTGGAGTAGGTAATTCTGTATAAAAAAATGCAGTCTTGGTCCCACAGGTTATTGCTACATATGATGCAACAACTTGATTAAAAACATATTTGGCGGTATATAAGTAAACATGTCTGAAAGCTGTAGAAGTATTTGCAATGTTTATTAACAACAGCAAGTAAATAAGTACATAAAGCTTGTGGGAGTTCTGGTATTTCTGAAAGCCAGGGCCGTAGCAGTTGTTGGTGTTTAGCATTCAGTGTAAGGTTACCTTCATATCTCTGATGCTTATGTAGAAATGGTCAGTGAAGAGCACAGTCCTGTAGTAATGACAGTCATGTTTGCCTCACGTCATTCCCGACCGTAGCAGTTGTTATGGTGTGGCAGTGTTTGATTTCTGGAGAATTTGCATTAGCCTTCTACTCCGTGAGGGGAAAGTATGACATCAGTGTCATGCCAGTGACCATCTGTCTGTAGCACAAATACATTTCATAATTGGCACTCTTTGGCACTCCTTGCTGTTTTCCTCTTGCACTCTTGAAGCAAAAATGTAGAAAGTAAAATTATAGGCAGAGCAGTGAAGGTGCTGGTTCCACACCGACCTTCCACACCACCGGAGTGCTGTGTTGTGGCTGACTCTTCTCTTCTGCACTTCTACTGTTATTTCTAATAACAATTCAGGTGATCGTAGTGGAAAAGAAACAATGCATCTGTAATGTTATAACGTGCTATTATATGAATGTGAAAATCAGCAAGGAAAATTACGTGTTTCTACTGGGACTAATAAACTTGCTGTTTACAGTTACTTCACTTAGTTTGTAGCTGTGGTGACCTGTATTTTGCATTGGCTGTAAAATGGAAATAATGTTGTGCTGTCCTAGGGTTGAATGAAAACTTGCACTGAACTTGCAAGTGATTTTAAAATGCCTTAAAGATGTCTCATCTGTGGAAAAAAACCCAGTTGGACTATCATTTTCCCTTATATGCACAAGTAATGCAACCTTGAGTGTGAGCTTTTGTAAAGAAAAGAAAATCTATCACCGTCATCATATCGCTCTCTTAATTTCTAGTTCACCACAATTGCAGGTTTCTTACTTAATAATTAGATAAATTGTTTTTCAATTTGGCTTTGAAGGGAGATGTTGCAAAACAGGTGATCCAGATACCTGGCTTTAACTTTATTTTGTTATTGTCAGAAGATTTTGTGACAGTTACAGTAAATTTTTCTTGCAGTTGAAGCTCAAGAAAAAGAAAACAATTCTTTGAGCCCTTAAAAAAAGTCCATAAATTATAGAAGTCAAGAATTTTAAGCCTCAGTTCCTAGATCTTAAATAACTATGTGCAGTGTAAATCACATAATTGTTGGTACTTCGATGACTCTATCAAAGCTCCCACCTCGGATTCACGGATCCGTTGGATATTTTTATGTGAAGCTAAGAGTTCTTCACAGAGGAGAATGCCAGCATTTTCAAGAGAATGAATTGTAGGTTGGGTGGTTTTGAGTAGGCTGAAGAAAACCTCAAATGTACTTACTCTGAGCAAGAACACATCACAAAGTCAAGGTTCCAAAAAAGCGCTTCCATTTTCCTTTGATGTTTCATCCACACCTCTGTTACTGAAGCATTGCATGACAGTTTCCTTATATTTGTGAGACTTCCTCTGTTAATATTTTAAAAGTTAACTTTTACAATTGTAGGTGTTTTTTTTCTTTTGTAGTTGAGGCAGGAGAGACAGGCACATCTTGAAAGCAGTATCTTTCTGGTGACAAATGTTTCTGTTCCTAGAAAGTATGTTCTGGGTTTTTTTGATTTTTTTGTTTTTTTTTTAAAGCAAGGTGTATATGACTTATCTCAATACTGTTCTATGAAATTAATTTGATTTCATATTTTCATGGCTCTTTATCTTCTTGTGGTGTGTTCTGTGCCAACCCCAAAGCCCAAATCACTATTTTTAGTGGCCTGTGTTTGAAAAACTGGAAGTGTTTGGTATGCTATGTTGTTCTTTCTGTCTGTAAAAGTCTGCTTGGTAATTCATTATTCAGAGCATTCTAGTGGGAGTATTGGAGGGTTTTTAGTTATTTTAATTATTGGCTTAATGATTATTGTTTCCAGGTGTGCATTGAAACTTCTGTATGAGACTTACAGGTTTGCATATATTGTCTCTTGTAATCCAGACTGGCCATATTCTATTTCTATTTACCGTGTGCAAGAGCTTCAGGCTACTCATTCTGTGTCTTTATTGAAGATATATAATCTTAAAAGACTGTTATATTAACAAAATTATTTTCTGATTTTGTTACAGTGGATATCAGACAGCGACTATAAAAAAACAAAAGGTCTAAAGCTTTTATGAAACTTATTAAATATGATTACACACATGCATTAATGTTACTAAAATTTTTATTACTTCATCAAGTAAGGCAGTAGATCCAGGGAAATTACAATTCTTTCAATATTAAAAAAGCCAAACAGCTTGTAAGAAACAAAGATTAACTGTAGCTTTGTTTTATTCCAAGAAAAGTAATACAAAGGCATCTTCATGGAGGTGGAAAGGTTGTGAGGGTGAACTTGCAAAATTCAAAATCTGAAAGAATAAAATCATAACTAGAGCAGTCACTTTTTTCCTCTCTGTCTTTTGTAGTCATATCATACCTTCATAGGTACTCTGCTGCCAATTTGCATGAAGAAATGTTTTAAAGTCTTTCTAGGCTTTCTGCACTTCTGCCTAGACTTTGACAAAACTGCACCTTTAAATGGTGATGTGTGCTTTGGTTCAGGAATGCAATCATGAATTCAACTCCTAATCATTTTCTGCTCATGCAAATCTGTTTACCTTAAATTTAGCCAAGCATAGATTTCTGTTTTATTTAGACTGAAAATGGGTCAATTTGATGTTTCTTGAGTGGTATAATGAGAATTATATAGAGTTTGACGTAAATTTCTGCCATTAAACTAGGTTTTGTTCATTCTGTCCTTACTGTAGACCTATTGTGAGATGAGTAGGTAGGAGAAGTCTGACTGTTTAGCTTTTGTCTGCCAACTCAGTGTGAGTGAACTTCAACCATCCTAGTGTTGTGTAAGTGCTTATTTATTTAACACAAGACTTGAAGCTTTGTGCCGTTGTTGTTGTTGTTGGTTAACGTTATTTGCACTAAATAGCTGGGTTTTATGTTTTCCAGTTTGTGAAAATTATATTGTTCCTTTTGAAAGAGGAACGATTTGGTGGTGATGGAGTGCTGCCACTGACAGATGGACTCACAGGAAAGAAGGTGAGAACGAGCAGCTCCGCGAAACTGCAGAGGCTTCCTGAAAAATGCCCGAAAATTAAGTGATATCGGCATACTCTTTGTGTAATTTACACTAAAGGGAAGATTAATTTAGCTACAGTTTCAGTTGTGTCTGGAACACTAAACTTACTACAGCAGCAACTTAGTTGATTGTTGGAACTTGTGAAGGCTTAGCCGTAGGCTAAAACCTTGAAAGTAATGTTTTCAGGTGAACAGTAGCTCATATCTGTTACCTGCACCTGTGAATTTTGATCCTGGGTCAGTAGCCCTGCAGTGGACTGTTCTTTTGTTCCTTGTTTGTTCCACTAAGATACCTGGCAGAGGTCAGCTGTTTTTGTAAAAAATCCTGTTATGTGAGTGTCCAAATCTGTCTTATGCTGTTTTCTGAAGACTTAGTAAATGGATAAAAGCCCAAACAGCAGGACTGCCCTTAATGCACAGTGTATTGATGAAAACTCTCTATATTACTGTGTTATGTTCCTTGGTGTACTTTGCCCATCTGAGTAAAATCTGTATTTTGATTTTAGGTTAAATGTCCTAATATTGATATTGGATTTTTGAGGTTTTTTTTCCTCTGGCCTATATATTACTTGATTGGTTCCTCTTTAATTTACTTCTACTCTAAAAACAAGTCCTTTGTATTTAAAATGCAAGATGGACTCTGCATTTTAATTCTGTATTTGTTTTTTGGATTAAATAATTGACCTGAATTTTAGAAGAGTTCTTGACTGTCACTTTTTTTGATTTTTTTTTCTTCTTTTTTTTTCTTTCTGTTTTGTAGAAAAAAGTAAAAATGTTGGGGATGGGCTCAGGAGCTAAGAGAGATAATTTAATCTCTTAGTTATTTTCATCTTGAACATTTCAGATGCACATTGTGTAAAGATATTGTTCATCCTATGCACCAAAGCTAGCAAAATTTGTAGTTTAAAAAAATGTAAATCTGCATGAATAGAGCTGCTTGTATAAGTTGTCCCCAGGGCAGCCTATCAGACCAACTTTTTCTGGGTTTGATTCAGGTTTGGAGTACATTTTATTTCTTTTGCCTTTTTTTTCTAGACAGAGATTGCCATTCCATCAAAGCTTTTCTTACCTGTCTTGTATATATATAAACTTCACAAGTTCATGCCAAGCAGCAAGAACTTATTTATGCAGGGAGTAAATGACTTGACTTTTGGCAAATAAGGAGCTAAACCTACTTTTCCCTACAGGGTATATAACAATCTATTCTTTATAAAGTTTTAAATAAATTTAAAGATGACTCTTAAATTAACTTGAAATGCTGTCAGTCTATATCGATGCTTAAAATGACTTCTTGTGTTTAAATCAAGACATTCCACAAATTGTTAAAACTGTGGGTTTGTTGTCAATGTTTTGAGGAATTTCTTTGTGCCGAGCTGGAGGAGTTGCTGACTGAACATTCAAACCAGAGTGTGTTGAAGTGTTAAACCAGCTTTGGATAGTTCCAGTCACTCCTGCAAGCCCAGATACTTGCACTGTGTTTCAGGATTTTTTTTTGTACTTCAATTGATTTGAATGACTGGGTCATTTGAATCTGAGAAACTCATTAAGAATTAAAAAAGGAAAAAACCCCAAACAATCAAAACCTCATTTTTGTCTCTAAGGGTAGAAATGAAAGTATATAAAGGATGAGCTTTTACAGGTGTAATGTTTTGAATGGGAGCAATTGGTACATGGTAAAGTATAAAGGAAAAAGAAAGCTAATGGTTTCAAACAGAAGATACGTATTTTTTACATTTAAATAACATTTAATTTACAATTTGATAATTATTAATATTAATTTAAATATATTGTCTTCCTGAAAGTGAAACAAATGCCTGAACTACGAAGCCTTTCCTACATATGTGAAAAGCAAACTCTGCATTACTAAACTACATAAAACTTCATGCTTATTGTGTTCCAATTTCCTCCAATCTTTGTAGCTCAGAAGAGGCAGAAGGAGCCAAAGAGAGAGGCCTGGTCTATGTCTGGAAGGCTGGTTCCTGCTCTGTAACTCCAGAAAGGCTTCTAGGACTCAGTGGCAAGACTGTATTACAGGCAGCCCTTGGAATACATCATGGATTACTTCTAACAGAAGGTAATAAGCATCTTAATTGTAAATATCTGATGAAATAACAAGCTTCAGTTATTGTCAAGTTTTCTTTCACATGTTCTTTTCATTTTTGTTCTTTCATTTTTGTCTGTGTCTCGTACACAGCTTTAAAATTGCTGGATTTTTAACTTTGCCTTTATTTCATTCTTAGTTATAAATTATTTCTATTTCAACACAGTTTTATATGCATAGATTCTTCTTTCATATTGTTTTTTTTTTTTCTTAACAATGGCTCTGGATTTTACCCTCTAAAGATGTTAATTAATGTAATCTGAACCATGTTAACTCAAAATGAGATTTCTTTTGAAGTCTTTCATTCAAAAAAGTACAACAAGAGGTTTCCCTTGATGCGTAATAGCTTTGTCTTCTCTGCTTCTGGAAAAGTCTGTAGTTAGTACATGCATTAGAGTCTTGATTTGGGAGCAGTTTGAGTCTGTGAATTGAGGCATTTCTAAAAGCTAGTTCCTTAAGTGTTTGTGTACCTTGGTCCATCCTTGTACTATTCAGTGGACATACAGTAAAGATGCAGCTGGAAGTTGCTTCTTTGATTTTTCTTTGACCTTCTTGAAGGAAAGTTTCCAGGTTATTGGTGAGCCTGCTCTAAATACCTCTCCTCTACTGGAGTTGTTATGGACATCCAGTGTTTTTTTCTTTCATAATTTAAAGGGACTTTTTGCATGTGTGTTCTTACCCCATGAGGGATGTTGTTTGTGGATGTGATGTACCGTTTTTCCATCACTGTGGAAAACAACTGTTAATTTTAAAAATTAACACACCTCCTCTCCCTGATAGGGCAATCCTGTTTTAGTGCAGGGTGCAAACAGTACAGTTTGGTGATAGCAGGTCTCTGTTTGGGAAGATGAGCTCTGTACTGTGTTGTGTTCTTCATGTGCATTTGTATGTCCTTAATACATTGCATGTTCTTAGAATAGAAGGGACCAATAAATACACTTAACTTGACTACAGTAGAATTTTTAGCAGAAAAGCATTGCTTATTTCAACAGTGCATGCATGCACAGGGTGACATTAACATGAGGTATAGAACTTAACAGCAGCAACAGAGAGCAACCAGCAGTCTTCATATATCAATAGCCATAGTTCTGCTGAGCCTACAGTAAGCTGGGAATTGATATCTGTGTATCTGAAGTGTCTTCAGATAAAGACACTTTGTGTCGATTTAAAAATTTGTGTTGATTTTTGTGTTGATTTAAAAATTGCTTTTACACTCATGCTAGGATTTTTTTTTCCCCCCCTTCCAGGTGGAGAGGTCTACAGTTTTGGAAAGCTGCCCTGGAGATCAGGACTGGAAGAGTCATGTGTTAATAGTCCTATCTTAGAAAATACTTTGCTTGGACATCGTGTTATTACAGTGGCAGCTGGCAGCTTCCATAACGGAGCCGTGACAGAAAGTGGTGTGGTGTACATGTGGGGCAACAATTCTGCTGGCCAGTGTGCAGTTGCTAATCAGCCGTGTGTGCCAGAGCCACAGCTCGTCAGTATTTGTGATTCTGAAACAAGTCCTCTGATATCAGTAAGGATTTTGCAGCTGGCATGTGGAGAGGAGCACACACTGGCACTATCTCTAAGCAGAGAGATATGGGCTTGGGGGAGTGGCTGCCAGCTCGGGCTCATAACAACAACTTTCCCAGTGACAAAGCCACAGAAGGTGGAGCACCTGGCAGGACGCGTTGTGCTCCAGATTGCTTGTGGAGCCCACCACAGCCTGGCTCTAGTACAATGTCTCCCTGTGCAGGAAATGAAGCCTATCCCAGAAAGATGCAATCATTGCAGTCAGCCTCTTATTACCATGACGGACAAGGAAGACCATGTAATCATTTCAGATAGTCACTGCTGCCCACTGGGTGTAGCACTGTCTGATAACCCACCAGAAAACCATGTCTTGTGTCCCTCATCGGAGACCCTCGAGGGAAAAAGTGTAACAGGTGGCCCAAGTGACGACAGTCAGAAACCACCTGTGGAAGAACAGAGGCTTGTTGGTTTAGAGTCTGATGGGCCAAGTGTGCTTTCCAGCAACGATGGACAGGAAGGTAGTGGAATTTCTAGTCCTGGAAATATTCTGTTCCCAGACAAAAAAGAGGTGAAAGAGTACTTAATTGGTTTGTCAGATCACTCATTAAATGAGAACCTGGATAAAAACATCTGTACAGAACCTGAACAGGTTGGTACCTAATAACTAGCTCATAATTTGCTATAACTCCTCTTGCAGATGTGACAGTGTTACTCTTTTCACAAATGAAAAAGTGTAATGAAGCTATGGTGTTTTTGTAGTTTCCAAGTGTTTTTCACTGTGATGGCTCTCAACTTTTAAGTGGAAGATTTTTTTTTTTGTCATCCATCCATGTTCAGTTGTGTGGGAGCAGCCTTGACAGTGCTGTAGTCTCTCCTGTTCATTGTCTGCAGTACCAGAACCAAGTAAGCCAGTTTCCATGCTCTGTTTGTTCCATGATGCATGGGCTTCCATTTATGTTGGGCACTTGTCTGATTTACCTTTAAGGTCAAGCTTTATTTTCTGTGCATGGAACTAATCCCTCACAAATCTGTCTAATTTCCCAATCAGGTAAAAATTCTAGATTGCAAGTAAAGATTGCTAAACATGTTGACCAAAAGGTTTTTAATGTTAATGATGTAGGGGTGGCATAAACTTATAATCAGGGATGGGAAACGTGAGTTTTTGTGGCGTGGAAAATGGTTCAACAACACTGTTTTGATGCTATAGCAGAACAGTCAAGTACCCCTGTCTTGGTAAGCATCAGAAAATGATCAACATGAAGGCTCAAGAGCTGTTTGCACCTTACTGTCAAAATACTATGTTTTCTGGTTTCTTGGGGAAAAAAAGAAGACATAAAGACATGTAATTAGGAGTGAAGGGAAGAAGATAAAACCCTAAATCCACTAGACAGAAAACTAATCCAAAATCTTGCAGTGCAGTCTGGCAGTCCCTACCTAACTACTGTCCTGTGAGGAAACCTGCCACTCTGTGGCCTAGTATGCAAAATTTACAGTGAAATCGTGAGAATTTCTTTTGTCATTTCAGGTGTTGTGTAGACATCTATTTCTTCTTTTTTTTTAATAGTTACAGTAAGAAATTTGTCACAGTGGTTCTGAGAGATAAAATTCACAGTATCTAGTAAATAATTGATTTCTGTTATCACCTCTGATTGCAACAGAAAAAAGTTTTAAAACCTGTCCAGTAACTTGGTGATTCAGCAAGTTTTGTTTTATTACTCTGAAGAAAGTTTATTTCTGAGAAATGAAGATTGTGTGAACACAGTTATTCTTTCTTTTGCTTTTTGCTAATACAAATGCATTCTAGCAGTTTTGGGCTCCTCAGAATCTTGCAAGAACTCCCACCATTGGATGATGATTGAAACGTGTAGTTTCACGCTCTCTTTCTCAACTCCTCATTCCTGGAATATTTCCAGAGTACTGTTTTCCTTGCACAGTTCCAGGAATCAACAAGCCTGGAATCGGTTCACTGAATCTTACACAACTGAGCATACATATGAAGAACAGAGATGAGGTCTAATGTAATGTTTCAGCATTAGTAAAATCCTTCATTTCTCTTTGCTTTCCTACACAAATCAGTTTTCTTTCCTATATTGCTAGGTATGCCTTTTATAAATAGGAATGAAGTGAGTAGGAGCAATCCCCTTTTTTGTGAAAGCTTAGGCTTTCACAAAAATAAAGAGATCAGAAGATTGTTTTTATTTTGGTAGAATAAAATGAGCTATAATATTTGTAATAATACTATTTTCCACTATGTATTAGGTGGGAAAATGGGAGTTTGCTGTCTTTGCTTTAATATTCAAGCCATTTGGCAAATATCATCTTGTGCATTATTTTTTATTTGGTGGGTTAGCTGGCTGCTATTGTAGGTAATGGTGTGCTGGTCCTAAGAATTGCCTTCAGTCAGTTTGTCCCTAGTGTGACTTGATGATTAACTAAGCTTTATATGGATACAACAGTGACATAAGGGGACACAGCCCAGACTGGTTTTAAGAGAGACTTTGTGAAATGGATCCATGAGTCACTATTTTCCTTTTAACATACTGAAGAGAAAACTTGTCTCTCTGTAAATACAGCATGCTCACTGATGCACTTTAATTGGTGGCAAAGAAGTTGGTAATAAGCCTAAAATTATATCCCTTTTTATATTTGTTGGCAAAGATCCTTTATTGTTTTGGTATTAAAAACCCTCAGACCTACAGTCTCTTACGGATGAGCTGCAAGACAAGTGCAAGGGACAAAGCCCAGTCCATGTAGAAATGGTGCTTGGCCCTGAAAAAAAAAGATTCAGAGCAATAGATGCACACCTATTTACATTCTATACAGTTAAAACCCATATATAATTTACAATAAACCTTTATAGTAAACATGTCTTGTTCAGTATAGCCCACTGTTTGAATAGTGAATGTGTAATCATCATCCTTCTGCCAAGTGCTGTCCGGTGTGATAGTTTTCAATTTTCCTTTGGTTTTAGCCTTCTCAAGAAGACCAACTCAGTGCTTGTATCCCTGGCCCTCCAGGTCCCAGCACATCCACCCTGAACAGCCTGGTGGCCTCTTGTGCCTCAGCAGTGGGTGTGAGAGTAGCTGCCACGTACGAGGCTGGAGCTCTGTCTCTGAAGAAAGTCATGAACTTCTACGGCACATCCTCAAGTGAACCTGGATCTCAGTCAGGCAGCAGGTCCCCAGGGCCTGAGGCTCTGAGAGACAGTCGAGAAGAGCAGGTCAGACTGGAATCCATGCAGGGGAAGAAGAGTTCCAGTTTAGTGGATATTAGAGAAGAGGAATCTGAAGGAGGGAGTCGCAGGCTTTCCCTGCCTGGCTTGTTGTCACAAGGTAAAAAAGCACATTGGGGAAATAACACTGGAAATATTATATTAATGTGGAGGTTTATAAGCGGGAAAAACCCCCAAACACTTACTGAACACAAATTTAATGATCTATCAAAGGTCTTTATGAATTCTAGGCTCTCTCTTAGGACTTGAAAGCAGTAGAGGGAGTAAAGACTAGCAGATACTGCATGCTGAGAAAACCAAAAGCATAGTGGGTTTACAAATGCTCTTTAATGGTAAGGTGGGGTAAAATGCACATTGGGGTAGTTTGGGCATCATGCTGCCAGGTGATGCTAAAGTATCTTTCATGTTAATTGGGTAGGAGATAATCTGTGTGGCCTGTAATCCCTACTGCACTGAGCTGGGTTTGAGCCAGGGACCTATAAATATTGCAGTTCCACTGCCGAACTTCAAAGTTAATGACCTTCTTCTCTCGCAGGTTTTAGTGTTGTTAGTTGCTCTGAATGTGTAGATGGTTTAGTTCTATATTGGTCTTGGATCTGAGGGGAGTTTTTAGGAAGTATTGAAATCTTTTGTTTGCTGCAAGGATATATTTTCTTTCAAAACACTTTTTTTAATGTACAGTTTGTTTTGGTTCATTTGATTCATTATAGCTGCATAGTTCTCATATGCCTATTATCCTTTAGCAGCTGCTAAAAACTCTTTGGGATCTGCCTATTTTAGCACCTGTGTTACTTCAGTGTATCTGTAACCTATTGTCTTACATGTCAGTCTTTTTTCTCAATCTTAAATTAAGACTGCTTTAAGAAGTTTTGACCAGTTATCTCAAGTAACTGTGTAACACAGTCTGAGCAATCCATTTACCAAAAATGCATAGCAATTTCTCTAATTATTGGCTTCTGTTCAGTTTCTCCAAGGCTCTTACGGAAGGTGGGACGGGCAAAAATGAGGACTGTGGCTCTCACTCCAACCTACAGCGGTGAGGCTGATGCTCTTTTGCCATCTCTGAGGACAGAGGTGTGGAGCTGGGGAAAGGGGAAGGAAGGACAGCTGGGGCATGGTGATGTTCTGCCAAGGTGAGATTTCTTTGATAAATGAGGTTTTTTTATTCAAAATTTTGAGTATTGAACTGTTTTAAATTCTCAAATTTAAACATCTGCTTTGCATTGTGTGCTTGTTCTTTGAAGTGTTGTGACCTAAGTTTCTCCAAGTAACATTTTTTAGGCTGCCTTGTTAGTGAGCATCAGTCAGTTATGACTTTTCCCCATGTAATCACTAGGAGTTTTGGAGATATTTTGACTTTGTCCATGTTGAGGTGAGGTTTATCAACTTTTGCCCTTCATGACCATTTTGACTAAACTGATTTGTTGCCAAAAGACTGCATGTGTGTTTGTTTTTTCTAAATTGCTTTGGGACAAAAATAAAACTTGGAACGTGTTTTCTGTATTAAGAGTACCTCTGATAATATTTTTTTCTCCTTCTACTCCTCCTCCCCTGCCTTATGGGTTCTGGGGATTGACAGGCTTCAGCCACTGTGTGTGAAAAGCCTTGATGGTAAAGAAGTGATTCACCTCTCTGCTGGTGGCCATCATTCCTTAGCACTCACTGCCAAATCCCAGGTACAAGTTATTGTTACCGTTTATTGTTTTTCTGTGGCATCATTGTCGTGTTTGGTCTTTTCTAGGTTTTTGTTTCTTTTGCTTCTAAACTTCTGTTCCTGTTTATGGGAGGCAGCATCGAAGTAGTGTGGAATCTTAATTCTGTTTCTGCCCAAGTGCTGCCTGTACTATCAACGTTATGTTTAAAGATTGGTGTGACTTGATCTGGTACATTCCATTTCTGGTGTGAGAAGACAATTCGCGAATATAGGAAGACAGTGGAAATTAGGGAATTGCTTCTTGGTACATGAGTCTTCTATCCTTGACTTGTGTGTGTTTGCACACTTGATGTGTTGTACTACCACACTCAGTATGTGTCCATGTATATAAATTTACTCATGTTTAGCAATGCTTCTTACAGGTGTATTCATGGGGCAGTAATGTCTCTGGCCAGCTTGGTCACTTGAACTCCCCAACAACAGTCCCTCGTCTTGCAAAGGTACTTTTGTTTCTGTGTTTTTCTTTTTTTGGTTTAGGATCACTTCTTATACCAGTGAGTGCAATGTAATTTCTAAGAACTATCTGTTTATGGATCTGTGGGCTATATAGTAATAGAGCCCTTGATTTCTTTGGCTTATACTTGTGAAAATCTACCCAAGAAATCCTTTACACAGACTTCCACTGGTTTTTGACCACAGTGAAGTTCTAAAACTGAGAAATGTGACTGGTTGTATCTTCTTATCAAATTTCACTTTTACCTTATATTTGGTACAGTGCTGTAACTTTTAAATACTTTGGAACTGTTTAATTAGGTTTCACAGTTAAATGTAGAGGGGATAATAGTGTCCCAACCTAGTTCAAGCTCACTCATTTAAAAATAAAACTGATTTATAATTGAAAGGCAAAAAAAATAGCCATTAGAAAGGAAACTGAAAAGAAAGATAATTTTCAGAATGCGTGCAAGGAGTTTATTTGTTAAGAGACACTGAAGTTGAAAAATGACCAGTTATTGCAATACTTTTCTTGGCAGGTGTGTTATATACATGTGTGGCCAGAAGAGTTAAGTACTCTTCTCTCTTTCCAGCCTCGGGTGATGATTCCTAATGTCTTCCTTCCTCCTGAATTTCAGGTGTGCGGTGATGGTGTTTGGAGTACAGCAGCAGGACTAGATTATTCCCTCTTCTTAGCAGATGAGAAAGACTTCCAACCTGGATTATATTACAGTGGCCAGGAGACAATAGAAAATAATTTGAATGAAAATAGCTGTACTAAGAGTCCAGTTTTATTACTAGCCTGTAGTAAGGTGAGTGTTATTTCCTTGAAGTTAGTACAAATCCTACGGATGCTCTTTGGAAGTAGCACAATGCTGGTGGTTCAACTAGCTTGAAGGCTGTCAAGTCACATACCTGGTTCGTAGCAATCAAATCAGGAGCATAGTGTATGCAGGGCAGAGAGGAGGCCTAATTCCCTCCCTGTTTCTTGGTATTCCCTTATGTTTGAGTGACAAGGAGGTGTTTCCAGTGTGTTTAATCCGTTTCCTTCCATGTCCATGCATGTGCACACACACACTTGTATTCCTTCTGTAAGACTGTTGTTAGCCATTCTCTTCTCTTTTAGGGTGACTAGTAGGCTCTGGCGTGTCAGAATGGGCCTGTGAGTTGCTTGTTGAACAACTTTGGCTCAGTGTTTCTAAGGAATCTTCTATATGGCAACGAAGGAAATAGAAGTAGAGCTCAAACTCTGAATTACTCTGTGATATTGCATGTGAACCAAAATTAGTGAGGAGCCACAGTCAGCATTAGTGCTGACCTTATAGAAGAATTTTGCATTGAACTACTGTGGAAAGCAAATACCTACTGCTAGTAATATTGCAGTATCAATAAACTGGACTCTTATCAATAGACATATTCCAGGTCCAGAAAGGACTACAGTTCAGAGCACAGTCATAATACTAATAAAGCCTTCTAATTCTCTCTTTGTATTTAATGGGAGAAACAGTTGATACAATGATGCTATTTAATATCAACATTGTTGATATAAGCATACTGTGGTTCTGAAAGTGACTGAACTTAAGGTCACTACCTCTTAAACATGGAAAGGTTGCATGAGTCACCTTAAAAGATCATCTATTTATTGTCTTTTAGGCTCTGTCAGAGTCAGGAAAATGAACAGCAATGACTATAAATGTTTCTTCAACTTTTGTCATTCTTGTATTAAGCCAGTTTTGAATGGGTTGTTTGTCACTGAAGGTAATTAATACTTACTATCACTTAGTGCTCCTAAAAATATGCTTTATTTTGCTTTAATATTACTCTATTTTTAAATTGGAGTGTGAAAAGAAAAATATTGAAGTGGCTTTTTTTCTTTTCTCCTTTTCGCCTTTCAGATAGGGTACATAAGCAATGTGATAGCTGGTGGTGACAACTGTTTGGTCTTAGTAGACAAGAATGTAATGGGATATATTGCCAGTTTGCACGAGTTGGCTTCTACTGAGAGAAGGTTTTATTTCAAACTGAGTGAGATCAAATCTCAGGTTCTTAGACCTCTTTTAGGTTTAGGTAAGACCTTCTTTTTTAATATTTTCTTTGATATTGTTTACCCTATGTTCCACAACAAATTTATTTTATGCAAAATTTAAAAGTAATGACATATTTTTATATATTTATATTTTAATAAAAATTATATATTTATAAATTATATATTTTTAATATAAAGCTGAGGTGTTGCTCTTCTGCCCTGTTTGGATGAACGGGTGAAATACAGCTGCATTTCGACATGAGCATTCTGTTGTTAGTTTTTGCCCTTTCCTGAAATTTCACCTGAAATAACTTAATTATTTGATCTGTATTTAGTCTAAAATCATTGCATTTCTGATTCTGGATAATGTAGCCATGAGGTGAAAGTGCTGACAAAGCATCTAAACAGCACCACGTGGTAACTCTCTGTGTTAATGGGTGCTGCTCTTTGGTAAGGTAAGCTAAATTGCTTTCTGGTCTGTTACAGATAACTTGGGCAATGCAAATACAATCCAGTTGTTGCAGGAAATGGCAAGCAGGTTCAGCAAGCTGTGCTATCTCATTGGTCAACATGGAGCTTCTTTAAGTAGCTTTCTTCATGGCGTGAAAGAAGCCAGGAGCTTGGCCATCCTGAAGCATTCCAGTCTCTTTTTGGATAGTTACACTGAGCAAGTATCCAATTCCCTCTCATCTTGAGTCTCTGCAGTCTTAATCTACTGACCGCAACAAGCCCTGAGTTAAGGGAAAGTAGGTCATAAGGAAAGCTACATAAGTAACTGTTGTGCAGATTGTATTGTTGCAATTTAAAATGTGTAGAGAGTTCCACAGAGGAATTGATTTCGTAGTGAGATGTGTATTTCAAAGTCTTCACCAGTGGAGCACACAGGACAGCATCAGTTTCCCTTGTGTACAACTCTGAATACAAACTCTTCTTTGGTTGCTGCCTGTAAGCCTAAATGTTGGTTACTTCCTAAGGATATTGTAATATAATGTGCTAGAGCTACCGTGGCTAGGCTGCTAAGTAAAGCTACCTTTGGGGGTTTACTGTGGTTACTAAAGGCTTTTTCAACAGTCATTAACTAAAAATTGTCTTCCAGAAGAACAATTCTTCTGTCCTCATACTTGCTAAATAGCACTGCACCTTTCACCCAAAAGCTGGAGCTGCTTTAGTGCTCAGAACTAAGTCTGAATTATCCTGGTTATTGTTTTTATTGTCCTAATGCTTTTGGGAGAGGAGGTCTATGCAGTCACACTGTTTCCTGTCTTTCCCCTCGGTAACCTCTGTAGTTCCTGGATAATTTCATCTAAATGTAGCAGGAGTTTTATCATACATAATAACTACGGGCTTTTGTGAGAAATATTGCTTGACAGTTTAAATATGTCCTATCTGAATGTAGTCTTGGTTACCAGACATTCTGAAAATATCTAAGGAAACAAAATTTCAAGATCATCAACTTCAGTTGTTACACAGTAGCATTTTGAATAGGCAACTAGTTGCACTTTTTTCCGAACACAAGCACAACAAATAACACTTTACTGGGTTTGTGATGAACTTATGCCGTATGACCCTAAAAGAAACTTTCTTCTCTGTTTATCACAGGGGTTGTTCATAACTGTAAATGTATTTTCTCCTTTTCTTACTTAGTCTTTGATTTGAATTTGTCTTGTAACCTGAATTTCCAAAATTGGTTTCCATTACTCAGAATAGAAGGGTTTAATTCCTTCTTCCTCAGTGTCAAAGACTGAAATACCTAATTTCTGTTCTCATTATTACTGCTTGTCTTCTGCTCTCCCCCTTTGCTTCCTATTGCTTGCACATTTTTCTGTGCATGCCATCAGAACCTCACCATAGTGCCATGAGCATCTTTCACAGATCAGTTAGGCTACATAAGCATTATCTGTTAAATGGGCTAAGCAGAGACCTCTTTCCTTGGAGAAAGGTGTTTTTTAAAAATGGTGCAGGGGAGAAGTCATAACTGGAATGTTGAGTACCAGAAAAAGAGAAAATTCCCATCTTGAAATTTCCATCTTGGCTGTAATTAGAAGCTAGCAATATTAAATTGTTGAAACAGGTGGTCTATCCTATACATGTCCAAATCTGGGAGAAACAAAAATAAAATTAAAGTAAGCCCTCTGCATGGTGCTAATGGCAGCAGAAGTGTGGAACAGTAATGCGTGTTCTGTGTTCCATGTTGAAGGTGAATGCCAAGTGTTCGGTAACACTGAGTGTTTCTCAAGTATAGATAACTTACATAGTTAGATAAAGATATACATGTATACATAAAAGATATTACAGATCTCATTATAAACTGTTGGAAATTACAGCAGCTGCTACTTTCAGGGATGTTTTGATTTTTGTAACTGAAGAGCTTTTTCTTTCCTATATTAGGTATTGTACTTCAGTAACAAACTTCCTCGTAATGGGAGGATTTATGCTCCTTGCAAAGCCAGCAATGTAAGCAAACCTTTACCACTTTCTGGACTTTTTGGTCAACTAGCAAAGAGCTGTAAACAATGGAGTGTGTATGTGTGTAGTAATGAGCATGAAGAACTCAGTGTGCTTGAGTATACTAATTCCTTTCCCATCAGATGAAGAGAAAGTTACCTCAACTGTGATAAAAATTTAGGTTAAAATGCTGCTGACTGCGTTCAATTACTTTATCTTGAAGATGGGGAAAGGAGGAAAAAAGCATAAGTGATTGCAAATTCCTTCAAAGAAATGTAAATGGAGTTCAAATAATGATTTTTTGAAAGCTTAGTTTTGAGGTTAAATGTTCATCATTACTTAGTGTTTGCTAGTGTTTATTTTAATGTTCCTGTCAAAAAAATAGAGAACAGGAATTAGCTAGAGTAGGTAATGTGAATTCACTTTCATTTGAATTCTTTATGTTTACGAAGTGCTTTAAAATTATGGAAAAATAACATTTCTGCATGTGTGTCTTCTCTGCCTCTCAAGACTTCCGTACTCTATTTCATGCATTAATGCTTGTAAATGTGAGGAAGAAATTGTACTTTAAGGCCTGAGATAGTATATTTGAGGTTTCTATATCCTATCTATATCAAAAGTAAAGCTTTTTTCTCATTTAAATGGCATTTTTGTCTAGGAAACAAAGTAATGACACCGGATCTTTCACTTAAGTGCTGTGAAGAAAGTGTTGCACTGAGGGTAGTTTTTAACTAGTCTGTGGAACTGCTACCTTTCCTTCCTAAATTCTGTAATCTGGGAGTAATTGTTAGTGTTTATGAGACACTTTGAATGCAGAGTAAATGATGGTATTGAAAGTTCTTAGAAACACATGTATGAGGTACCTCATACAAAGAACCTTCTGCACCTGAGGACCAGTGCCAAACTCTAAATACAAAATCCCACTGCAGAGAGGCACTGAGAGTCTTCTTGCATCAGTCAAGATTTTTAGGTTGACTTAAAGGAAATCTTAATTTAAGTATAAGCTTGTTTATAGTTCATACTGAAACCAGTCATACTGAATTCATCACATCAGTCGTCACTCTCAGGTGTCACAGCTTCTCCTGCTGCAACCAGAGTCTCATTAGGAGAATAACACTTCAGGGAGGAGATGTCTTACAAGTTTTGTCCTGTTCCTTGCAAAGGGAAGTCAAGGATGTCTTTGATAATGATAAATTTCCCCCCACTCCCTTCCTGAGGGTTAACTGTCTTAAGTCAATGGTAATGGTGTCAGCCTGTCTTTCGTGGATGCTCTGCAATATGTGGTCCCAACTTTAAAAGTGCCAGCTTCAGTGGGAAGTTTCCATAGCTGACAGGTTTTTCAGCATGTCCTCTGAAAGAGTAGATGAGCTGTACTCAGTTTTATGAATCTGTTATTATTTGATGCTTTTCTACGGAGAAACCTCCATGGGAGGATCTCAAAGCACTTTAAAAAAGGCAAGCCAGACAGGGGGTGAAATTAAAATTAGGAAATACGGTCTTCTCTCAAGAAGACTTTATTCCTAAGGCTTGTTCAATAGTGGAGTTCTTAAATATCATTAGCAGACCTAACAAGGTACATTATTTTGATGTGTGAAATGGCATCTCATGAATCACATAGCGTTCTTAGGAGCCTTGCTGTGCAAATCTGATCTGTTTTGCTGTCTCTGGGGGCCTGCTCTCTCAGCCTCACCTGATTCTTGCAGCTTGTGGTTTAAATGCTTCACAGCTGGATGTGTTTTAATACACCTGTCATATGTGCCAGCACCTGTGTGCACACAGATATGGTGAAGGAGAGGGAAAAGTAGGTTTGTTTTCCTTTAAATGAAGAAACCCTGGTTTTGTGTGCTAATGCATTGTCTTCAGAATCATTTCCCTCTTCTTCTCTGAACTAGATTAGTTCTCCCTCTTGGAAATCAGACTGAGGATTGAACAGATTTCCTGCCTTTATTTGAGGTAGGATGTAATTTTTGTAGTTAGGGGAAGAATTGGTCACTTGCCTTGACAGCAGGGGTGGGGAAGAAGTTACTTCAATATATTTAGAGAAGTGCACTAGAGCAAAGTTAAGATTCTTTCAGGCCTTCTTGTGCGAATCAAGTGTTAGAAACTTTCTGCTCTAACAGTAATGGGGAAGTCATGCCCCTGTTTGCTCTTTACTAAACAAGTGTTAAAGGGGAGAAAGGCAATTGGGTACAGCCCAAGTTGGGCAACGTAGTCAACTTTCTTCAACCAGTTTAATGACTGAGCATATGAAAATAAAAATAAGAAACAAGTCTCTTGTTGCAGTTATTAACTTCATGTCTTTACTGCTGTACTTCCTCAGACTACATTGTGAATAGATTAGTAAGCAGCATGGATTTGCCTCTATAATTTTGATTGGTTTATGATAATCCAAAAAGGGGCATTCTGAGCTCATTCATATTTACATAAAGCATCACTAATGTCTCCCTGTCTTCTTTCTTCTCTCCTCCGTTTCCCAATGATCCCATCATTTAGAGACTTCTTGAGTAAAAACCACGAGCTATTACAGAAACTTTCTGAAAAAAATGAGGAAAACCTCCAGCTACTGGAAGTTTTGAATGCTCTGTTTTTCATGCCATTTGGACGACTTCATAATTATGCCAGAACTTTGCTAAAGCTTGCCACATGTTTTGAAGTGGTAAGATTGCTTTGTTATCTATAGTTCAATAAATACACAAGTGAAACTCATGGCTTGGAAGTAACTGTGTGAAGCAAATGCCAGGTAATTAGAAATAGCTTAGTCCTCAGAGGAGCTACCTCAGACTTGTACTTGCTGCAGGGAAGATCTCGTACATTTGTTTGCACAATCTTGCACCACACCTGCACAGATCACATGAGGGGTAGAAACTTGTTACCCTGCCAGAGCTTGTTTGTGTGCCTGAATATTTAATTGCAAATGTATTGTTTTGATGTTTGCCCGGTGCTTTTCAGTTTCATCTGGCAGCATTGCTGTATTACATGGCTGTAATACTCTACTACAAATACTACATATATATTAGGTAGACTATTACCACCCATTTAGTATGTAATTGCTTTGTTTTGAAATAAAAGATGACTAAACAGGAGCGGTAACTACTTGTACGTTTAGCCCAATGTAGTAATTTAAAATATTCTCCTGCAATTATTAGCACTATTAATGCTACAGCTTGTTAAGCTGCAAGAAGGTAGATCATGTAATTGTGTATTAACCATTCTATTTGTAACATTCATGGAACTTCTTGTGATTTTTAAAAACTTGTAGCACACCAACAGAACGTGTGCCACAAAATAATTCAGTCTCCTCTGTTTATTAACCAGACCAACTGTGATGTATTTAGTGCTGATTTAATAAAATGAACTGTTGTATTGCAGCTTGGTCAGTATTGTTGGTACAGCTGTTCAGAAACACTCTCAGGTCTGTCTTACCTTGTGCCCTACAGGCATCTCCAGAATACCAGAAGCTACAGGATTCTAGTTCGTGTTACGAGAGCCTTGCTGTCCAACTTAGTAGAAAAATAAAAGAAGCAGAATACACACTTGGCTTCTGGAAGACCTTTCCTGGGAAAATGACGGTATAATGACAATTGTCAGTCCATTAGCATCTTGAATTTCTATTACTGTTGCTGCCGTCCCAGTTGCACTTCTCAGTTTTCTAATTGGTGTTGCTGTAGTACTCTTTAGAAATGAAGAGTTGGGCCTTTACTCTGAAAGACAAATAGCACTGACCTTAAGTCACAATCAGTGAGAAGTAAGATTCTGTAATTTAGTTTTTCACTCTTCCTGTAGGATTCCTTGCGGAAGCCAGAGCGTCGTTTAATCTGTGAAAGCAGCAACCGGGGTTTGTCTCTACAGCACGCTGGAAGATTCTCTGTAAACTGGTTTATCCTCTTTAATGATGCTTTGGTACATGCTCAGGTAAGATAGCTTGTATCCAAGGAACAAAACCTTTTCTCTGCTTCAAACAACATGATACATTTTTCATATAGTGAAGTTTTTGCACTGTAAAAATAAATCTGAAATTATGTACTTTTTTAACATTTGATTGCCATTGCTGTGGCTGGCATGGTTTCTGCTTGCTATTTCTTGGACCCAGGTAATGAGGTCCAAGGTAAAGAGCCGGTAATGCTTAGCTTTTCCTACTCCTCAAGGAAAGGAAAAAAAAAACATTCAGAAAAAGTGTGGGGCAGGGCTAATGCATCAATACCTAATAAAATGTCCCTTCTCTTTTCCTGCAGTTCTCAACCCACCATATTTTTCCCTTGTCCACACTGTGGGTAGAAGCTCTTTCAGAAGAAGCTGGTAATGTGTGAGTATTCTCATTTGTGATGCTGAAGTAGTCATATATTCTTGGGAAAGAAGATGAGCGTTTTATAACCAATTATTGTGAACTAGGACTGGAATACTGTGATTGCAGTCATCTCTACCCTTTTTTCTTGTTTCAGAAAACGTTGTATTTCTGTGTCTTAAAAAAAAGTTGTATAAACATCAGAAAGAAGAAGGGAGTTGAGAGGGAAGAGAGTATTCTTTCCTGCTGCTTCTTTTTACTGCTGACTTAAAGGGAGTGCTAGCTGGGGAAGGGGAGAGAAGATACAGTACTGATGCTCTAAAAAACCTTGCTTTTTCAGGATGGAATTTCACAGATTAAAATACTTTCCCCCCATGTAGGAACGGATTGAAGATTACAACACCAGAAGAACAGTTTGTTCTTGTTTCTTCAACACCACAGGAGAAGGTGAGCATATCTACAAATTTGACACAGCTTCAGTGATATGAATGAGGTTTTCTCCCCTACTGTGAAACCAAACTGGGAGAAGGATTGCCTAAGTATTCACCAAGAATGAAGTCTTCCTGCAGCTTGGTGTGCACAGTGACTGGCTGTAGCAGTGCTCCCGTGACAGCACTGCATTGAGCCGGGCAAGGAGATGATGGTGTTTGCTGTAAGGGTGAGATTCAATGCAAAGACAGGCATTAGCTAAATTCTGTGATGAACCACTTTCTGTTTCAGACCAAGTGGCTGAGGGCAATAAGCCAAGCAGTGGATCAGGCCCTTAGAGGGACTTCTGACATAATTCTATACGGAGCTGGTGGGAATGTGCCAAGACAGGAACCTCCTATTTCTCGCAGTGCCAAATACACCTTCTATAAGGACCCTCGATTTAAGGATGCTGTTTATGATGGAAGGTGGCTTTCGGGAAAACCCCATGGCAGGTAAAGCATGAGTGTTAACAGTTGAAAACAAAATGAGCTGGTTACTATATCAATAAGTAGGCTCACTCACAGAAGTTACCTGGGAAGTGACCTGATTATCTTATACGCTTGCCTGGCTTTGTATTTTTTTCCAGAGGGATCATAAAGTGGGCAGATGGGAGAATGTACTCTGGGACTTTCCGGACCGGGCTGGAGGATGGGTAAGATCCTCTCACTACTTGTGGAGCCAGAGGGCAAAAAATATTTTTTGTTGTAATTAAAGGTTTTGCAGTGAATCTTACTGACTCAGGGTTATGTACATTAATGTTGATATACAGATAATCTCTCATTTTTCCGGAGGTGTGCTAGTTGTCTTCACAAAAGACTGCAGTTGCCAATGATTAAAAACTTGCTCTTTCATAAAAACTGAAACTAATTGGGGTAATCAGCTGTAGGGTGGAGGAAGGAGATGGTAAAGCAGCTGAGAAAGAATGGGGGGGTGGGTGTCCTCTTGTAGGCAGAGGAAGCCAGTTGAAAAGTCTGCAGTCAGCTTTCTTCTGCGTAGGTAACTATTAATGTGTTGCAATGCTCTTGCACAAGTTCTGGTATTGTTTATTTTATCCTTTCAGAAAATTCAATGCCTTTCATGCAACGTAGTGTTGCATCTTCTCCCATGTTTTCTTTGCTGTATTTCTGGTAGAGTAAGGGCTTAATAATTCAGCAAAGAGCCAAATCTCGATTTCAGGGTTTGGGTAATGAAAATAAAACTAATGAGAGTATGTGATCCTGATGATGAAGATAACTAGTACAGAGGAGACTGAAAATAGGATGAACGGAAGTTCTAGACATTATCAAGTTATGTGGTTAAACAAATAAGACCACTTGAAAGTAACTTAGTTTATTATGCAGCTCTGAATTGATCTGTGGATTTCATTGCTGAAAATCTGCTTAGAGCACTGTTGAGGCTGAGAGGTTAACTTACTTCCAAAGGCATTTTTATATGCATCTTGTGAGCAGACATGTCTGTACTGGGCAGGATAAAAATGTCAGGAGTCCTGTTGGCTTCCAGATGAATTTTTGAAGTATTGAGTTGGAGGAGAAAATGAGATGTGGTCTGACTGCAGACAGCTTTTTAAAATTCCTCTTTGCTACTGATATAATGTCAAACTATAAAACCAATTTAGAGCTTTGGTAATTTGTAACTAAGTGTAAGTAATCCTGCTGATTTTAGGGTTGTTGGAGATGGAAATATTGCAAACAAATCCTGACCAGAAATGCACGTATTGGTATTTAGCTGTAATTGCTGAAATTATCAAATGCATATACTTGTATTTCAGCGTGCACATTATGGTCTCAACACTTAACAATAATGTGTTATTGGGGTAGACATGCTCTCAGGAGAACCTTCCTAACTTCATTTAATCTCCTCAGGAGATTAAAAGCAATAAATGTGTCTCATTTTTTTGGGGGCATATTGAAATTCTGAATAATTCCTTGCCACTCACCACTCAGCATAATTGGAAGCTAGCATCCTTTTAAAAAATATTTTCTGTAGCAATATATGTTCTCATCTCTCCCTGGAATAAAGGTGTGCTTGAATTATCAAGACCCGAAGAAAACAATAAAGGTAGAAGCAGGCTTAGGACCAGAGAAGACTGAGAAAAATGCTGCAGTGTGGTGGAGAGGGGTATATTTACAACATGCCATAATCAAACAGGAGAAAAGCAGTGTGGACTAAATTGACCTAGTGATGCTGGAACACTCACTTTCTCTTAAAAAAATATTCTGTAACTGCTGTAGTTAGAGATGCACTAAGAATGAAATAGAGCATTGTGATTTTAGAATGGGTCTGTCATATGTATCTGCTCTGTTTTTCATGAGGTTTTATTGGCATTACAGCTGCTTGTGTTCCATTTCTGTGCACTGGCAGGTATGGTGAATACAGAGTGCCAAACAAAGCACTGAATAAGGATGACCATTACGTGGGGTACTGGAAGGAAGGCAAAATGTGTGGGCATGGAGTCTACAGGTAACATGTGGCGCTTGTTGCTGTCATTGCAGAAGGGAGAGCAGAGCTAATGCTGCTTCCCAAGCCTCTGTGCAGCTTTGTGACATTTCAGACTTGTGGATGTGGTTAGCTTGGCTTATTTCCTGCTTTGCTTTTGGTAGATTGCTCACGCTGCAGACTGGTACAGTGGTCTGTTATTAATGTCTGTTCTAATGTTGCTGCCACCTGCCAATAATACAGAATTCTTTCTTCTGAGAGAGAAATATATCAGCTAATGGCCCTGCTCGTTGTGGAGAGAGGGGGTTTAAAGCAACAAAGCATCAAAAGACTTGTATTAAAGGGTAACTTTTATTCCAAACATATTTTAACTCTAGTTCCTGCTTGGTATAGTTGTAATGCAATTCCTAGAAGGAAAATGAGAGGATTGATTTGTTTTGGGGAAAGGTGGAGGAGGGGGGAAGTACCCAATAAAAAAACCAATGAAAAGCCCCCAAACCAGCCCCCCAGCAGAACCTCAGATTCTTTTGTTGTTGTTGTTACAGCTATGCTACGGGTGAGGTGTATGAAGGGTGTTTTCAGGATAACATGCGTCATGGGCATGGGCTGCTACGCAGTGGGAAGCTGACCTCTTCCTCTCCCAGTATGTTCATTGGCCAGTGGATAATGGACAAGAAGAGTGGTTATGGAGTCTTTGATGATATCACAAGGTAATGCTTCCAGAAATCCTTAAAACTCCAGTATGACATGCAATTGCGAAAAGAGTAGGAAAGGACTTGATTTGTTAGTACCAGTAATAGTGCAAGGCTCTTTCTTCTTTATTGCTAGGCTTTGTGGGTTGATGATCTGAAAAACTGAGTCTAGAGACTGCTTTTTTGGTGTTGTTTCTGGAATAAATGTGTTGGGGTTTGCTTTGGGTTTTTTTCTGTCTTCCTTTTCTATCATACTCCTGCCTGAAAACAAGCTCTGAATGGGATGTCTTATTGAGGTATCATGTTGTGTGTGTGCTGAAAGTTTTATGAATGTCATGTGAGGAGTATTCTTTCATCTCAGGCCTCTGAGACTGGGTTGTTCAGTGGTGGATATACAGGACCCAGTAAATTTCAGCTCATACTCAGGTTTTCCATTTACTTACTCTGTCAGTGCAGTGGAGGGAAGATGCTTTCTCTCAGGGCAGAGCACTAAAATTACCATCTCAGAAAGAGAATTGCACTACACATGTACATTAAATGAACACTGAGCACAGATATATATGTGGTCTGCTTTTCAGTCACCAGTTCATTTTTTTTTTCTGAAAAGAGCTTTTGGTGAAAGCCCAAGGAACTGTTTTTGGTTCAACTGAACTGAAAGCCCCATTCAAAAGCAGAGTAGACAAAATCTGTAGAGTGAAAGGGTTTTTTTTTTTCTGAAACAGAGCTATTGTAATATGTCTAGGTATTTCCTGATGTCAGTTTTGCATCTAGTCTTGCTCAGTGGTGGTGGTTGTTCTTATACTGTAGTGTCACGATGCCTCTACATACTTTCTGTAGTCATTTATTTACCTAGGACAAACTAAAGAGAGTCCAGCTTTTCTTGCAGATCCTCTCACCTCCAGAATCTATAAATGCAGTGGCAGTTCATGATGAAGGAGTGTGGCATTTACTTTCTACTCCAGAATTACTCAAATATGAGTGAGCTGCCCCCATGTAGTTTTCTTTCTGGTCTCAGGGAAGGATGTGTGCATATGTTTGTGGCCTAAGGATTAATTTTCTGCAGTTATTCTTCAGCCCAGACAACTAAGAAATAACTGCAGACACTTTATTACCTGTTGTTATTGTTGCAAACCAATTATGTGAGCAAGTGGGGCTTCCAGTTTCCATCCTGGTAACTGAGCTTGCAGCATCTCTCTCTTCAAGGAGCCTTCACCCAACTGAGGCCCCTGTAGTTGGTGCAAGGAATCGGAACAGCATCCTGCTCCTTATGGTTCCAGTCAGCTGGGAGAGACCCCTGAATTTAGTTTAATGGCTGGGCTTACTCTCTTTACTATAAACATAGTTTTTCCTGTGTACTAGAAGGAAAATGCTTGGTAATAAGCAGGGTTGTATTAAGTCAGTCAGTAGTTTCCTTCTAAAAGCAAACAAAGAAGGCCTTGAGAAGTTAATTTTTTGTTGCTTGGTGAAAACATCACGTTCTCTTTCAGAACAACTGCAAAAATAGATTTTTTTCAAAATATTTGGGACTTGCACTGATTTTCAAAGACTCTAGCCTGACTTCTGTGGACTTACATGCACAAAAAAAAGTCTGGAAGAGGCTGGTGTTTATTTGTGAGCAATCTTTAATTGTCTAATCAATTTTTTTGATATCATGACCTATGTTAGCCTGTTATACAGAAACTTGCTACAACATGATCTGTTTCCTTACAATTTTTGCACTCTAATATTTCCAAAATGTCATGTATGACTTTCTAGGTCTCCCTCTTATTCCCCAAGTAGAACAACTCGGTTTCTTTTCTTTATTTTCCTCTCAATGAGAGTCATCTGACTTC